ACTAATATAACAAAAAAATCGATTAGGATTTCGAAAATTTAATTAATTGCTTTGTGCATTGCTATGTAGACTGTATACTTTAGACTGTAGACTGTATACTGTAGACTGTCTTGACTTTGGTCTATCATCATAACAAGTTCTTTATTTTACAATCAATGGCTAGTGGAGCTAGTTAGAATAGTTGGAACCAGCCTACTACTAGCTACCAACTGAAAGTTTTATATCTTACACTCATTCGCCCCTATGGATATGCTACGATTCTTTTTACTTTTCGTAGATGTGAGTGAGATATTACTTTTCAGCCTAATTAAAAAAAGATATAAATTTGAAGATTATATAAATTAATTTATATATTTTTGTATTTTTATTTTTGTTTTTTTTATTTTTTATTATTGATTTTTTTATATTTGTTATTTATTTAATTAATTTATTTTTTTTTTTTTAATGAAAAAATCTATTGTAATAAGGCCGCCAACAACGTCGCCAACATTTCCTCCACCACTTTTTTTTAATAAAAACACAGTTTTTATTTTTTAATTTTTCCTTTAATCGTTATGGCATTTTATTCATATTTATTTTAATTGCTAAATCTCTCTTTTTCTAAATACACACATATATTTTTTAGTTGTATATGCGCATGGCAATATTTTACACATTATTACATACATACATCCACTGCATATGCATGTATGCTCTTAGTAATTTGTTGTTATGGTATTATTTATAATTTTTGTATTTATATATATATATATATATATATATATATATATGTTTATATAAATATGTGAGCCTTTCGCACTAAAAAGGCAATTATCAAATAGGCTTACCAAATACGTACATACATACTACATACAGCTATTGTATAATATATATATATATTAAATTATATTATTTTTTCAATATTCTATAATATTAATTAAGTATGCAGTAGTTGTAGTAGTAATAGTAGCTTTAGTATTAGTCGCTTGTGTTAGCACTAGAATAACAAAACTATGTAACTAAATATTCGATTTTCATAAATGCCTATACATAAATAGAAATATGTGCATACATATGCATAGATACACATATATTATTAAATAAGTATGTGTATGGATTTTTGTATTTATGCACTGTTTAGAGAGACACACTAATTACAATTAATGCGCTAATGCTTAGTCTAAGTGTAAAGGTACTTATTATGTATTTATGTATGTATGTGAAATTCGCTTAATATTTTAAGCGTAAATCATGCAACAATATTTTGTGCCATCGTACATATGTACATACATATAAACTAAATACTAAAAATATAATTTAACGGAAGTATAAATGGCGAAAAATAATGGTTATAATAAAGCGCATAATTTACAGACACATTCATACATGTACAGACAAACATACGGGTACTTGCTAATAGCTTTATGGCGAGACAGTTTGAAAAAAAAAAATATCAGTTAAATATTTAATACAATTATTATTTACGAATATTTTACTAACCATTATGCCATTTTATGCAAAGAAAAAATTATATATTATTTATGATATTTAAACATTAATGCTGTACATTTGTATATTCATATTATTGCTAGCGAAGTTATGTCTAATTTTTCCCATTGAATTTGAAAATTTACATTTGATTTCAGTTTTTTAATTTATTTTTTAATAATATAATATTATATTGCTATTATAACACATTTACGCGTACACACATACATATTTTTTTTTAAATTTTAATATTGATTTTACTTAACATTTAATTAGTGACAATGATGCTGAGACTTTGTGGCATAAATAAGACACATATGCTTTAAGTAATAATTCTGCGCATTTTTTTTTCAAATTTATAAGCAGTTTTTTAAGAGTAAGTAAAAAATATATGTCATGCGATATTACCAAAATCTTAAAATGTCATGCGAGATTTTTTCAACATTATTTGAAATTGTTTTGAATTTAGGTATAATAAAATGAATTATATTAATTCTTTGCGAAATTTTGACTGATTTCTTTGAAGTAAAGGCTCCGATCGAAACATAAGAACTAATTATTTATTAATATGTATATGATAAAAAAAAAATTATTTATGAACGTTCATTTTAGCATATAACACTTTCACCACTTATATTTATATTCATAATATAAAAAAAAAATATTTTCGTACTGTCAGCAGCCGACTAATCCAACTTGCATGATGATAGAGGCTATTTTCTCTTAAATTTATAGGACTTTTTATATACAAAAACTACATTTTACCAAAATACTTAGACTAGGAAATTTCAAAAAAAAAGAAAAAAACACACAAACACACCTACTTATTTAGTGCAAATTTCTTTAATCAAATTTTTCGCTAAATTTTTATTTTAAATTTCCCCTTTAGCTTTACGACGTCTTATATAAATCTGACATACATATTTATGTATAATATATTTGCAAATCAAATGCTTTAATATACAATCTATTTAATATTTTAATTATTATATATTTATGACACGCAAGTAAATTATTAACGGCAGACACACAAAAATGTATTTTTTTCATATTTTTTATTAATATTTTTTCTTTTAATTTTTTTGTTATTATTCATTTATTATTAATAATATTTATTAGCTTTCATTAATTCTAAACCATTTTTTTAGTTTATTCATATATATTTCACATCAATAACAGCCTATCTTACAGTTTGTATGTATCCCCATCTGAGATTCTCTTCAATAATCAGCATTGCTAATGTTTTATGTGTGTGTGTGTGTGTGTGTGTGTATCTGGTAGTAGCAGTTTAGTTTAATGTATAAATTTGTTTGTGACTTTAATTCTGCCAAAATATCTATATGACTTTTTATTATTTAATATTTTCTTTATACGTTTTTTTTTGTATTCTTTTATTATTTATCTTCTCACTAGTCCAGCAAATTTTTAGCAGCATATATGTTAGTTATTCTAATGATTCAGTCTTTTAACGCATGATGTGCGACATTAAAAAAAAAATATGTTGAAGAAATGATTCAGTAGATGCCTGAAAGTGGTCAAAGAGTTTTCCAGTACTCAAATATTTGAAAAATTATTGAAAATTTTATATAGTTCCATTTTTTTTTTTTGAAATACTATAGACTAATAAAACCCTACAAAGTGGTTTAGTTAAAAAAAAAATAGTAAAAAACTGTTATTCGAAAAAAAATTTTTTCTATTTTGAAAATAATTTTTGAGACAGAGTAATAAAAATTGTGAATAAAAAATTCAATATATTTTAACGGGTGACCTTAGCAGAGATTCTACAATTATTATTGAACCCGATTCAACCGAACAGACCACATTCAGCGTGCAGTGAAGAAAATATAGCGGCCGCAGCTGAGAGTGTACACGAAGACCGCGGTGAGTCTATTCGGCGGTGTTCGTTGCAACTCGGACTGACCTATGGAACGACATTCTGCGTTTTACGTCGAGTTGTTAAATTGATAGCGTACCAAAGACAGCTTGACCTTTCGCTCAATGTGCTCTTGAAAATTTCCAAGATGTAACTTTTTGGAGTCAAATTTTGTTCAGCGATAAGGTCCATTTGAGACTCAATGGGTATGCATGTAAACAAGCAAAATTGTCACATTTGGGACGAAGGGCAACCTGAAGAGTTTCAAGTTCTGCCATTTTATCCAGAAAAAACAACGGTTTGGTATGGTTTGCAGAACTGGAGGAATCATCGGTTCATATTTCTTTGAAAACTATGCCGGTTAGAAGGTAATTGTCAATGGCGACCGTTAACGCGCTATAATAGCCGACTACTTGATACCTGAAATTGAGCTCGTGATCGATGTGACAATGTGGTTTCAATGGATTTATTGGGCGAACACTTCGGTTGGTCGATTACCCACCAAGTTCGTGCGATATCACACCGTTAGAGATTTTTCTATTTAGATAAATAAGATCTAAAAACTATATGGACAATTTCGATTTGATTCAGGCGTTGAGGCAAAAAATCGCGCATGTCATTCGCCAGTTACCTATCGAAATGCTCGAATGAGTCCTCGAAAACTCGACTCAACGGATTGACCATCTGAGACATAGCCGCGGTCAACATTTGAACATTTGAGATAATCTTAAAAAAATTAGTGCCAAAAAGTGTTATTTCGCATGATAATAAACATCGTTCAGCAAAATTGAATTTTCGGTATTTTTTTCTTCAAATTTTTCTTTAAAAACCAATAAAATGCTTACAAAGTTGAGTTTAATCAATAGAAAAAAAGCTTGAAAAGACACTTTTGTGACATCCAAATAAATTAAATTAATTTAAATTCAGTTTCGAAAAACCTAATATCTATTTCGCAAACAATTTCTGACCATTTCTGAGACAGAGTAAAAAAATTTTGACTTAAAAAAAAGGTTTGTACTTTTATATAAGGGTAAAGCATATTTGGTTTAAAGAGTTAAATATTTCTTCTGTAATAAATTTTGAATTTTTTTAGGCCTTTAAAAGCTTTACAAAAATTAATCCTATTCCCATTATCCTGTTATTATTTCAAGCATGAAAACATTTTTGTTTAATAATTTTGAAACTACATAAAGAAATTTTTTTTTTAAAAAAGGGCTCAAATTTATATCGAATGTTTTGTTTTAGTAAAAAGTAAATAAAAAAAATACTTTAAAACCTCCAAAATTAAAAAATTAAAAAAGTTCACACATTTGAAAATCGTTTCTAATAGTCCAAAAAATTTCAAATATTTCAGAAAATGAAAAATTCATATTTTTTTTTTATTTTATTATTGCTTAAGTCTTTAATTACCTTTTTTAATTTGATTTTTTTTTCAACATTTCTTCAGTTTTAAAAGATTCAAAATATATACTACTTTTGTTTGAAGTTTATAATATGATAATGTTTTTTTTTAACTAATCAAAACGCTACACTTCCATTACTTTTGAGAATTTGTTTTCAAATTTTTAAAAGTACTTTGATATTTCAAAAAATTTTATCTTAAATATTTTTTTTTATTTTTAAAAAATTTCAAGATTTTTTTAAATTTTCAGAAGTTAACACATATTTTTATGTATTTTAAATTTTTAAAAAGTTTTAAAACTTAAAATTTATTATTAATCACTCGCCAAACACATTGCAGACACCACTTTTGCTTTATAAACTATGCTTACTCTATATACACACTCTATACTTCTCTTTAGCCTACCCAGCTCTGACTTACTCAGTCGACTCCAACTGGCCCTTGTTGACGCGCTCACACCACGCTAACAGCTCTTGCACCTCGCGTGTATAATAATCTACTTGAGCCGCTTCATCGCACGCGCTGCTATCAGTCAATCCAGCATAGCTGCCCAATAAACCCAGACTCTTTGTGACACCAACCACATTACCACTACCCACACCCCCAACCACTGGCACACCCCCACCTACTGTCACATACTGTGTTACCGGTCACACAAGCGGTCCTTGCGGATGAGCTGATATGCTGCCACCACTGGCACTGCCACAGCCGCTGCCGCTGCCACTGCTCAACAAACTCCTTTCGCTGGCCACACTACTGGGCGCATAAATCAATTCACAATCACTGTTTTGTAGGATTTTATGTGGGTTTTGTTGCTGATGACGGTGATCCTCAGCGCTTTCTGAGCACGAACTCAGCGAACTGCTGCCACCGATGCTGCTTGTATTGCTTTTAGCGGCGCTGCTGCCACTGCTGGTCATCATTTGATTGGTGCTGCCGCTACCACTGCCGCTGCCAGCGCGATAGGAGGCGCGCACAAAGGGTTGTTGTTGTTGCTGCTGGGCACGCCAACTATTGCCAGTGTTGCTGTTATTGCTGGCGCTACTTACACCGCCGCTGCTGCTCAGTGTTATCGCCACACTGGGATGTACTTGATTTGATGGCGTTAAAGGCAGTAAGTGTTGTTGCTGGGTTTGTTGCTGCTGTTTTTGTAGCTGGTGGTTTTGCTGATTCTCATCAATTTTCACATACAAACGCTCCATGTCACCATCGAGCTCACCATCGGCCGTGTGGTAGAGCGCCTGGTCATCCTCGTGCGACATCAACATGGCCATGGGAGAAGGCGAGCCACCGCAGCCGGAGTCAGCGAGCCCATTGTAGCAGAACGAGCCGGCATCTAAGTCAAGCAGGTTTTTCGACAGCTCGGTGGTGCCGTTGTCATTACCGGTGACCGCGCCAATGCTAGTGCCATTGCTGTTGTTGTGGTTGTTGTTCAGAGCATTCATCTTGTGTACCTGCTGCTTCTCAATGCTCATGCCGGGCAGCTGGTGCTGTTGTTGCTGCTGTTGCTGGTGCATAATGACTTTGAAGCGCCCACTGCCGCCAATCAAGCCATGCGTTCCGCCGCCGCTGCCACCGCCACCCAACTGTCGACGTAGTGTGCCGACACTGGCGAATTGCTGCTGTTGCATGGGTTGTAGTTGCAGTTGTTGTTGCTGCTGCTGATGTTCACCTGCCGTGTCATAGGTGTGACATGTGCTCAACTTGTTCTCCGTTATGTGCATCTTCTCCTTGGCATAGTAATATTGCTCCGAATAGGCGGAACGTTGACTGCCGCTGTTGCTGGGATATATTTCACTGGTCACCGACATGGGTTGGTAAATATTGCCTAAAGAGTGTTGCTGCTGCTGCTGCTGCTGCTGTTGTTGTTGCTGCTGTTGCTGCTGCTGATGATGATAGTGTGGATGCATAGGTCTTTGATGTGGCGCCTGGAATTGCTGATGTTGTTGTTGCTGCTGCTGCGGCATGCGAAAATCGCCTGGTCGTTGCTGATAACGTGGCTGCTGCTGCTGATGCTGCGGTTGGTGCTGACCACCACCATTCAATATGGCCGATGTGGCATAGGGCGCTGGTGAGCCAGCTTCATGCCGTTGCAAGCCACCACAGCCATATTCACTGGGCGCTTTGCCGAAACTTGACACCTCCGCATAATCCGTGGGTATATTTGAGTATTCGCCTACATATCTGCAATACAAGAGATAACAGAAAGGAAAAGAGAGAGAGAGAGAGAGCGAAAAAAGATCATTAGAAAAAGTTTATAAATGACGACAATGAATTTCAAACATTTTCAGTGTGTAAGTGAATGCCGGACATTTTGCAATGCATACTTATAGGCTTTCCAATATCAGCAGGATGCTGGTTGGTTTGGTTGAAATATTCAAAATTTCGCTTTTATTTCATATTGCCAATGAAATCATAATTTTGTCGCTTTTCAGCGGATTTTCAACGCGATTTATAGGCACACGCATCGCTGCTGCACAAAAGCTTCGCTGATAACACTCAAACATTCGCATAATGCACGAATAAACCGGTATGACGGCTTAATGCTCAGTTAGCTGTGGCAAATGGTCAGCGTCAGATAGGTATTTGAATGTGAATATAGACTCTATTTTATGAGGATATGAGAAGATACTAAAAACGAGTAATTTTTTTATTTTTGCTTCGTTTTGAAAATGTGCAATAATATTTATGGTTTAATCCACGTATCGGGTTGGACATTGAAAAGGTGAATATAAAATATTTTTGCAAAACTGTTAGATGTTTTAATCAGGGAGAAAAAGCTCTCTGACTTTATTTTATTTTAATTTATTAAATCTAAATTTAATATAATAAAATTTTAAAAACTTTAATTTGGTTTTATTTACCTCAATATAAATACATTATTTAAATTTTTATTTAATTGAATTGAAAAGTTTCTATTTGGCTTGACTTTTACTTCTGTTTTCCTGTGAATCTTATTTTATTTACTTTTTCGACTTATTTTACACTTCACCTTATTATTTGTAATTTTAATATATTTAATTGAGTTTATTTTTAAATTAATTAATTATTTTTTTATTCAGCATAAATTATTTCCTCTATTTTTCACAAATTAAGTTCATATAATACATCTTATTTTAATTTAATTTTTTTTAATTTAATTTAGGCTATTGCTTGAAATTAATTATTTTCATTTAATTTATTTTTTAATCTATTCGATTTAATTGTATTATACTTTACTTTAAATAATTTCATTTTATTTTACTTAATCTTATTATTCTATTTAATTTTATTTTTTTCTGAATTTCTTAAATTTCCTTAAATAATTTTATTTTATTTTTTTCATTATTTGATTTAATTGTAAATTTTTGTTTTATTTTATTTTATTTTTATTAATTTTTAATTTTATTATTTTCTTTTAGTTTCTTTTTTATTTTTTTTATTTTATTTTATTTTTCTTCATTTTATTATGTCTTATTTTATTAAATTTTTTAATTTAAATTTATGTTATTTATTTAAATTAAGTTATTGAATTTTTTTATTTCATTTCACTTAATTTCTTTATTTATTATATTTTGTTTTTTTTCTAATTTTTTTATATATTTCATTTTATACTATTATTTTATTTTATTATATTTTTTTAATTTTATTTTATTTTGTTTTATTATATTTTGTTTTCATTTATTTTATTTTATTTTATTTTAATTTATTTTATTTTATTTTATTTTATTTTGTTTTATTATATTTTGTTTTCATCTATTTTATTTTATTTTATTTTAATTTATTTTATTTTATTTTATTTTATTTCTCTTTTCTCCACCATAAGGGTATTATTTTATTTTATTTTATTTTATTTTATTTGATTTGATTTTATTTTTTTAATTTCATTTTATTTTACTTTGTTTTATTTTATTTTATTTTAATTTGTTTTATTTTATTTTATTAAATTTAATTTTTTTTAATTTATTTATTTTCTTTAATCTTTTTATTTTATTTTATTTTCTTTATTCTAATTTATTTTATTTTACTTATTTTTTTTTTATTTCATTTAATTTAATTTATTTTATTTTTTTATTCTATTCAAATTAATTTTACTTTATTTCATTATATTTTGTCTTAATTTTTAATTATTTATTTTTATTTATTTATTGGTTTTTTATTTTATTTTACTTTACTTTTTAATTTAATTTAGCTTAATCTTATTTATTTGTTTTAATTTTTATTTCTATAAATTTTAATTATATATTATTTTATTTTGATTTGTTTCATTTTGTTTAATTTTATTTCATTTTACTTTATTTTGTTTTGAATTAAAATTTTGTGTTTCTAATCTATTTTATTTTATTTGTATATTTTTGTTTTATTTGATTTTATTTTATTATATTTTATTATAATTTTTTTTTTAAATTTATTTTATATGTTTATTCAGCTTTATTTATTTTGTTTTACTTTATATTATATTATTATTTTTATTTGATTTATATATTTTGATTTTATTTTTTTGCTAAACTTTTTTATATAAAAAAACTAAATATTTTATTTTTAAAAAATATTGTTTTCCTAGCATTTAAATTCTTCACAGCTGTTTGAGCAGCGCGCACATAATTGAATTGACATTGGTTAACGCAAAAGTAAATAGTTGAAGCCAACTACTGTCCTTGTCTTTGGCATCGTCAATAATTAATAGCCCAACTGATGGATTTGAGTAATTTAACATAAATTAATACAATATTAGTACTAATTAGAGAATATTATTATTGAGGCTGTAAAACAAACATATTTACATGCGAATTCATACCATTTAACACACTCAGAAAAAATGAGATTGAAAAGACTGAAAATAGGCAAAACTTCTCAAGTGTTTCAGAGATTAAAATACGTGAAATATTAGTATGGTTGAAGAGAAGTGTGATGAGTGTTGCCTTTCCTAAATGTGGGCAACAAAAATAAACTAGTTTTATTGACTGGTAAAGACACTAGGCTGGAGTATAATGTGAGTCAACTTGTACCTATAATGAAATGAGTGATTTTTTTTAGCTTTCAACAATTATTTTATATTTTATGATACAATTTTTATTATTTCAAAAAATTTATCTTTCAATTTGTTTCATTTGATATTTTTATTTTCTATAAATAATTTCTCGCAGTGTCCGCATTTGCCACTAAATATCACAAATTAGCGGCATACGCTTTTACGCGCTAGCATGTCACGCTAGGCATGCATTAATAATTCACTATTTGAATTTGAATATTTATGCATAAAAACAAGCCACTTGCACGCATACACATACATTAGATATGTTCACAATTATTCATATTTGTTAGTTGCTTTGAAGTTTCAAAATATTTAATACGCATTGGTATTTGGTATTTACGAAAATTCCTCAAATATTTTGAATGTGTTGATGTGGCATTATTAGCGGTTGATTTGCGGTAGCAAAAAATTCGTATGTTTTTGTGCAATTTTTTCATGCACGCTTTGTTTCAGCAGTTGGAGAGGAAACAAAAACTTATTACTTTATTATTGTAAGAAAAAACCAGATATATTTAGAGTACGTGATTGAATTTAATTTTAAATAATGCTGCTGCTTTCAAAATCAATTTGGATTTTAAATTATTTCCAATTTTAGAAAACTGAAATATTATTTTCTAAGAATACTTTAAAGTCTTTCTTAATATTATTTGAAGTTCTTAATTTTCCGTCACACCAATCGAGAAATTTTTACTTAATTCCAACAATCGCATAAAATAAATATAAAATGTTGTGTTCATTCTGCTGTGTAATTATAGTTATAATTTGTTATTGATTTACGCGTAAATAGGCATGATAAAAGTGCGTAAAATATTACAGTAATGTGAAGTGTATAAATGCAAATTTTTACAAAAAATAAAAAAAAAAAATAAATAAACGAGATATCAAACATTGCTACTTTAAATCCGTATTCAATGAAAATGAAAATTTACACTAAAAATGTACACAAAATCCGAGAGCATTCACGTTAATATACCCTGGGAAAACAAAAACAAAATATAATACAAAAACAATAATAATAAAGTTAATATTGTGATTATATCCCACAGAGCTGACTGTCGAACAGTAAGCAAAATGATATGGAGTATATCATACGGCTCTGCAATAATAATTAATAATTATTAAAATTTAATTAAAACAGAAAAAAGGATGCAACAGCTGCATGCAAACATAAATACATATAATTTTTAATGTATATATATGTATTAATATGGATACATAGAAATACTGTGAAGTTTAACAGTAGCTTGTCCTTTTTAAACCTTGCTTCCTGATAGTGTTGATATTTGTACAATTGTTTTCACTTGCCGCTGGCGCACATACATTCACTCATATCATTCACGCGTGTACCGTCATTTTTAAATTATGCTTATTGGCTGCTATTGGCTTTAACGTGTAATTTTCGCAATTATTGCCATAATTATTGATGACAATAGCAAAAACTTTGAGAGCAACAATTACAACAGCAATGGAAAGTCAAATAAGAGGAAAAAATAAAATGAATTAAACAAAAATACAATTAAATAAGATAAGATGGAATACAAAAAAAAAAACAATTTGAAATAAAAAATAAGATAAAATAAAACAAGATGAAATAAATTAAAATAAAATGACATAAAAATATTAAAATTAAATTAAATTAAATTAAAGAATATAAAATAAAATAAATTAAAATGAAAAAAACATATATAAGATTTTAAAGAAAAAACTTAAATGAAATAGGAAATAAGTTACCATTAAAATAAAATAACATTAAATAAATTATATGAACCAATTAAAAATAAATTAACAAAAAATGAAAGGAAAACTAGATAAAGTCAGACCATAAAAATTAAATAAAACGTAAGAAAAATAAAAAGAATATTTAATGAAAAAAATCTAAAAAAAAAGTATAAAATTTGTTGAAATAAAGAAGAAATGAAATATACCAAAATGAATTAACCACAATATAAAAAAGCAAGCAAATAAAATAAAATAAAATAAATTAAAATTAAATTAAATAAAATTTAAAAATCATTGAATAATTTAAAACAGCATTAAATAAAATAGTAAAAGGAAATACAATCAAATGAAATATGCATAAAAAAGGAAAGATAGATTAATATAAAAAGAAATTAAGTAAATGAGAACAAATAACATAAGTTAAATAAGAAAAACAATAATGGCAAAAATAATAATAATAATTAAAAATAATAAATGGTAATAAAAATAAATCAAAAAAAAAAATAAAATAAAATAAATCCAAAGAAATAAAATAAAATAAAAAATTTTAATATAAAAAAAAAAACTAAACATAATAAAATAAAATGAAACAAAAAAAATACATTGAAATAGAACGAAATAAAATTAAAAACATTAAAAAATAATAGAGAAAAAAAATAAAAATAAATTATTTTATTATTTTAATAAAATAAAATAAAATGAACTAAATAAAAAAAAAAACAATATAGAAAAATTTAAACAAATAAACTAAAACAAAATAAAATAAATAGAAAGTAAAACATAGCAAAATAAAATAAAATAATATAAAATAAAATAAATAAATTAAATTAAAAAAAAAAAAAAAATTAAAACAAATATAATAAATCAGAATAAAAAATTAAAAAAAATTAAATTAAATAATATAAAGAAAAAAATTATATAAATTAAATAAACTAAAATAAAAAAATTAAATAAAACAAAATAAAATAAATTGAAAGTAAAACATAACCAAACAAATTGAATTAAAATTATATAAAATAAAATAAAAAAAAGTTAAATTAAATAAATAAAACAAAATGAAATCAATAAAGTAAAACAAAATTAAATAAAATAACATAAATTTAATTAAAATAAAATGAAGCAAAATTAAAAAACTAGGATAATAGTATTAAAATATAAAAATATATATAAAAATGAAATAAAAGAAAAAAGATAAACTTAAGTAAAACGTAATAAAATAAAATAACACTTATACCAGCGTAGAAAAATATTAAATAAAAATTTCAAATATAATAAAAATAAATTAAATTAAAATATTTTTTTTATATAAATTAAAATCAAAAAATAAAAATCAAAAATAAAATATAAATGAGAAAAATTAGATTATATTCAACGAAATTAAATAAAAAATAAATTACATAAAGGTAAGAGAAAATTAATAGAATACCAAAAATATTTACTTCTCAGGATCCTGCCAATGATAGTTTGGTTGAAATAGTGAGCATCAGTAATATCCTATACTTAATACGTATGTGCGTATATTTAGATATTATATTTCTAAACAGTTGCCCACAAAAACAAGTCATCCAAAATTTCTGCAATCCCCTATTAATTAACACACCAATAATTGTCAAAACTGCCGAAGGACCAAACACAATTAATTGCACATTACAGCATAGAACATAGCCTGCAGCTTTAAATTCCAATTTGAATTTCGTTTTCAATTTTCGAATTTTACACACACACACACACACACACACACACACACACACACACACACCGTTAGGAATGCATATTATAAGATATTCGGCAACACAAAGTGCCTTCATTTGTTATCAACAACGTTCATGCTAAGACTTACCAAACATTACTGGCCAAATTTCGAAAAGTGCAAAAACCAAAAATGGTCATTGAAGGCATTTTCATGTAATTTGTGTTAAGTGTAAATGCAAAATAACCATACCGAATATCATGGTAGTGGTAGCATTACTAATATTGCCAACTAAATGCGTTGAGTGTAACCCACTCACAGCAAATATTCTCAAAAGTATGTATATCCATAGTTTTGAGTGCACTTGTATCATAGCTATATAAGAGACAAGTAGTGCTTGCCGTTTCGAGTATTTTGAAAATTAGACTTTTTAAAAGATGCCTCCCTTGAAAATGGCAAAGTAAATGATATTAAATGTGCGTAGCATACTTTTAGGTGCTATGTATTACAAAAGTGCACTGTTCAGAAACTTTGTTGGGAAGGAAATGTTGGAAGAGAGAGGAGAGTGACACAAAATGTGAGCAAAGCCTATATGCACATGCAATAAAAGGTTCTCTATCGTTATTTGAGTATAAATTTTTGCCTGCCCGCAGTAAATGCAATTATATTTGCCTGAGAAGTTCAAATTTTTATTTTCATTTCCCTACACAGCTTATTTGAAAACCAAATTTATCGCATGGCTACATTTATTTCAAGCCAGGTGACAGCCAACGCTAGGCCAACTATGTATAACATTTAGCGCCCCGAACTATTCCACAAATAACTTCGAGAAAACGTAGTGTTTACCCGAAAAGTGCGAAAAATTGCGCAAAAAGAATTTTTTTTTGCTAAAAATTTTCAACTCACCTTTGTTGATTGCCCACACCGCTGTTGCAGGCACCGCTATCACCACTATTCACACCCACAGTGCCATTTGTCAAGCAAACTGGCGCATAGTCGGCAATTTGATCCTTTTGCAGGTCCAATGTATCACCTGAGGGTGATGTACGCCAAACCATGCCACCGGAGGAGGCATCTAGCCAATAGCCATTGCCGTTACGCGATAGGCTGGGCATTTTCAACACATCGTTTGGGTGTGCGCCTGAAATTAGATTAAATATATAGCGAGAAAAAAATGTGAAAAGTGTAGTTGTTACAAGTTTGTTGAGAATTTATTTAAAAACAAATTATTTGGAATTGTTGATGCTAAAAAATTTGATGCAAATTTTTAAATTAAAAAAGACTTTAATTTTTCATTTAAATTTTTCATATTTTTTTATTTATTTCTTTATTTTTTTGAGATGCTAAAGAAATTACGTAGGTTGCAGTTTGCTGTATACACCTGTCCCGTCCGAAGTGTTTCGTAAAAATTGTATTATGTTGGTCACGCAATTCATCCATGCCGATTCTTCACAAGAAAAACTGTTGCGTCAGCGACGAGATGAAAGTGTTTATATGCATATGCTCTTTATATATCAAAATGAAAAAATAAATATTTTTAACGAAAAAATAAATATTTTTAACCAAAACCCAAATTTCTCTTTAAGTGGTGTAATCTCTACAAGAGTAAAGCTTAAATGATAAGAAAAACAAAATTTAGATTTCATTGCACTAAAAGAAAATTAATCGTGAACAAATTAATTATTTTAGTTCTAAAGCGAATATCTATTATGACTTACATTATCTCTTTAAAAGTCTTTAATTTATTAAAAATTATCCACGTAACTGTATGTTACGCTGACTATAAATCGAACGATCTTAGTACGGCCCTAGTTTCGATTTCTTTAAATATATTTAGAGCTTAAGATTCAATATAACGCAAAAATAGAAATGAAGAAATTTAAGGGTAATGCGAGGTCTTATTTAAATAAAAGAGCCTTAAATAAAGCATGAAATATTCTTTAGCTTTAGTTTTTTTTAAACAAATAAGGTGCGTGGCTTGGCTAAGTATTGAAGTTATACATGATGGCCTACATTTAGGATGATGGTACATTTCAAGTTTAAAATAGAAGAAAAATATTGATTTTAAACAAATAATATTTTTTTTAATATGAACACTTTTTGTGCTAGTTTTAAAGGTTGAAAAAATAAAAAAAATGCTATCCGTCTTGCGCCTCTAATTGAATGACATATATTTCCTACAATAGTTTAAAAAATAAGCGTTAAAAAATGTTTAATTAGCCTACGAACAGCAAAAGAATTACTATAATACTCAAAAAACATTTATAGCATAAAATTACAAAATTAAAAAAAAAATATTGAGTGCTTAATTAACATACGAACAGCAAAAGAATTAATACAATATTCAATAATTCGTTTTTCTTCCTTAACTCGGAGTATAAGTTCCGGCTTTATGGAAAATATGAAATGATTTTAAATTTATAAAAAAGGTGTGAAACTCAACGAAAAAAGCAAATTTATATATTTATCATATTTTATTATCTAATTTGTAAATTATTAATATCTGTTGCATACTTTTAGGTAAACTTAAGGTGCAGAAATTCATTTTTCTCACATTTGTAGCCTAGAATTTAACCAAAAACTGTATATAAGCAGCATTGTTTTAATTTTTGCTTGCAAAAACAAAATGTCATAAGTTTTCTGCAAAAAATTGCCTACACCTAGGCGCTTAAAGGCGTACACACGGCTTCTTCAAGCCAGAAAGTACAAAAAAGGTGCTCATATATTGTAAACAATTTGATAGCGTACCAAGTACAAACAAATTGTGTAACTATGGCAAAAACTACACTATGAAACAACAACAATAAATGTAAAAACTGCAACTACTCAAATAACAACTTAAAGTTGTTGAAAACTACAATTACATACAATTTACTCTAAATTGCCGCAAAAGTACCATACACTCGTGCGCACTTGTGTGTGTATGTGTATGTGTGCAGTGTGTGTATGTGTGTGTGAGTGTTGTACGCCAAACCGACGTACTCAAAAGTAATAAATGCGCAACACATTTGAGCATTGTTAAGCACTGTGCAGTGCTATAAGCAACAAACAACAACTACAGCAGAGGTGAGTGAGGAACAAAAAAAAAATAGCCACAACAAAAACAACAGAATTTTGCACAGCTGCAACAACAAATGTGCAGTAGAGTAGCTTTAAATAGCAGCAAAATTTAATAATATCCAATGAACAGTTGGTCACTCACACCTGAAAACTTACATTCAACTATATATTCATTTGTAGCTATATTCGTGTGTATGTATGTGTGTGTGTGTGCGCAAGTACAAGCATTTACTTGCTCGTCTACACATGCATTGAAGTGTACTTGAATTGCGCATTGCGCTGCCACCCAAAAAGTAAGCAATCACCAGCCAGCACAGCTTGGTCAGCGAGTTTACTCGAACATACATACATACAGAGATACCAATATGCATTTACTCAGTGCACACACATACGCTCGCACTCAACTTGGACCACTCCGCTGACCATGCAACCGAAATGAGTAGCAAGCAAATGGTTGTGGGTGGAAAATTTAATGCATATACATATATGTATATAAATTTGTGTTTGTGTATGTAGCACTCACTCCTGCATATATCCGCAAATACAATATATTATGCATATTAATAAAAATGCAACAATGTGCGCTTGTGACAAAAAACATAAAAGATAGCGTATTTAAGCGTTGAAAAGCGAAAAAATCGCACAAAGGTGGGTTAAAAAAATCAATCTCACACACACACACACACAAATGTGGTAATTGTGAAAATGAAAAGTAAAAAATAAAAATTTACGCAAAAAAAAACATTTATAATGAAATAAAATATTTTTAAAATCGCAAAGGCAATAAAACACTTGGCTGAACATTGTGCTGTTATATTACTGACAGTTTAATTGGTTCATTGCGCTGCAACAACAATAACGGTAACAGCACGAAATTGTTTCCATTGTTTGTTGCCAATTTACCACTCTCATTGCGCTTTTTTTTCAAGCATTTTATGGGGTTTTGTTGCTGTTTTTTTTATTTTGCTTGTTTGCATTGCTTTTTACAGTTGCTGTGATTTTCCGCTATTTTCCTGATTTTTTTCTACATTTTTTCTGTCTCTTTTTCCGCTCACACACATTTTTCAACATTCACTTTACTAACTATCCGGGCCATTCTGGTCACTTGTCTGCTATAATGGCATTAAAAGCTTGTTGGCGTTGGAAGGAAATGTTGCGCCCGGGTGGGGGGGGGTGAAATATTTATGCGTGAAAGGAGGGGAGCACAGGACAATGATGGGTTGCATGTGTCATTTATATTAACACACATGACAAAATGCCGCAGACGCCCACAATGCAACCGCGTCTATAAAGTGCCATGGAGTGCGATTTATTTTTCGCAATTTTCATGGATATGCATATACACATATATGTATGCATATATATGTATGTGACAATTTAATGAAAAAAGTTAATAAAGCGTATGCAATAAATCAAATGAGCTGAAAACCCGAATTATATTGTGCAGTGAGCAGGGCAATTTAAAAATTACTTATTTAAAATATTTAAAAATAAGATTGAATAAATAAAAAACAAAAAAAGTGATAAAAAATTTTTGATTTGAAAAAAATCTGAAAAGTAATGAAAAACTTGTACGATGGGATTTTATTATTATATTAATTTTTTTTTTTTTCAAATAAAAAATTCGTTTATCTGAAAACAAAATTTAGAAATTGTTGGCCAATAAATGGTGAGCGTGCAGGTGAATTTAAAACTTAAAAAATATTTATTTGCATGCAAATTCAAAAATGCGGTATTTCGAAACCGATTCTTTCAATTATACCAACTTAAGACCAGTTTTCAACTAGTTCCAAACTAGTTATAATAAGACTAGTTACAAGTATTAATTACAGTGATGAATTGTGGCAGTGGGAATCAACCAAGGTAGAGCATTACACATTTTTTTTTTAATTAAAATAATAAAGTACTAAACCCCAAGTAATATCATTATAGTTAATTATAATATTATTAGAGTTGATTATAAGTCGTACTTTTGTAGTAATTTATATTTTTTTGTTCTAGCAATAGGAAATCAAAATTTTTAGCAGTTTAGTACTGATTCTTTTTTAAATTATATTAACACACAACTAGTTTCGATGTAGTAACATTAGTGCTAACTTTATAAAAAAAAAGCTTTGAAAATAATTGCGGCAAGTTTAACAATAAAATAAAGTAAAAATTATATCTGATGGAAATAAAGAAATTATAACAATTTAGTATTCCCGCTTTCCGAAATTGTAACATTAGAACTAGTAATACTTTGCAAAAGAAAAAAAAATTAGCATCAATAAATTTTTTTAAATTATAGCAAAAAACCTAGTTACGAAGTAGAGCATCAAGGCTTGTTCCTAGTAACACTTTGAAAATTTTTCTATAGTTTCAAATTGGATAACTTATTGCAATAAAAATGTCTTATTCAAGCGAACTAGTAACAAAATGGCTACAACAAAACTAGTAGCAAGTTCTTTCTAGAAATGCCTTTTAATAGGATTTTTTCGAATCGAATCAAGGTTTTCAGGCTGCATTTAGTTCCATTGTCTTAAATCTTTCAGATAGACTTGCAAGTCCAGCCCTACAGTAGCGGCGTAAATTTGAAACATATGCACAGGCCATCACCTTACCATATTCATGTGGTAAAAAAACTTAGTCTTTTTTTACGTAGCTATGTATCTCGGCAACTCGGCATACACGTATTTGCATACATATGTATGAAAGAATTTACTGTTATTTTGCTCCATGAACCTAAGGTAACGCGTGTTAAATGCTTCCGTTGCCGACATTCCGACGTCGTTCGACGACGTCAGTACGGATGCTGCTGCTATAGCTGACTATTTCCGTTGTTGCAATCAGCTTGCAACTGTTTTCGCAACAAAACTTTTTTTTATTTATTTATTAACAAGCTGCATACGTAAATAAATGCGTGCACAACGTTTTAATTGCAGTTTTTTTTTTAATTTTTTTACCTCTGCAGGCGTAAATTTGCACTTTTTAAATTTTCTTGAAATTTTTTTTTAATAAGAAAACTTTTGGCTCACCTCTGATTGTATTCAAAGCTGACTGTTTCATCATCATATGCTTGCGTTTAATAAATACCATGGCGCCGAATGATAACATCACCATGGCCAGAAAGGCGCCAAGTAATATGATGAACCAAGGTTGCGTGAGCACATCATCGACGTGGTCTTGATTGATCGGGTAGCTGGGACGAAAAAATATATAATCAGGATGAATACTATTTTAATACTATTGATAATTATTTTTTTTTGTAATTAATGAATTCATAAAATAAAGCATATATGCAAATATTTTATTATTTCTTTTTTAATAATATTATTTGATTTAATTTAATTTATTATGTTTATTTTATTTTTCATTTTATTTAATTTTTTTTCATTTATTTATTTATATAATTTTGAAATTTTATTTTTTTATAATATATTATTTTATTTTATTTTATTTTATTTTATTTTATTTTATTTTATTTTATTTTATTTTATTTTATTTTATTTTATTTTATTTTATTTTATTTTATTTTATTCTTTTTTATTTTATTTTATTTTATTTATTTTAATTTAACTCAAATTATATTAAATTAAATTAATTTAATTAAGTTTAATTTAATTTATAGGAGAAACAAGGTAGAAGTATTATTTTATAACAAAAATATTTAATTTATACAATCAAACCAGGCTCATAGATCCCTTAAAATTTATAAAAAAATTAATAACTTGACCGTGAAATGAATTGTATTTTAATTTAACTTAACTAAATTTATTTTAAATTTATTTAATATCGAGTAAATTATTTTTTTTTTACATTATTTTTTTAGTCTTATTTATATTAATTAAACTATTTTTAATTATTTTTTACCTTTATTTTATTGTTAACTACTTAATTTTTATATTAATTAATTTAAATTAATTTTATTATTTTTATATTTTTTTGTTTAATTTTGTTTATTTTATTTTTATTTTGCTTTGTTTTTCTTATTTTATTTTGTTTCGTTTTAATTTGTGTTATTTTATCTTCTTTTTTTAACCGTTAGGGTATTTTATTTAGAATATTTTATTTTACTAATTTAGTCTTTACTTTTTATCTTGAAATTTCTACTCACCGCTGATTAATAAACGGATCCAAACGCTTAGTGACGGGATCCAAACGCAATGTAGCTGGCGAGCAGTAAGGACCAATACCAGCATTATTTCCAGCTGCAACACTAACGGTATACATAACACCCTCAGTTAAGTTGGCCAACACCAGTGTTGGCGAAGCCGAGTCGATGGTGACATTTGTAAGTATGCGTGAGAAGTTGTGTGCAGTATCAATGCCACGCACAATCACATGATAGAAGAGTAAAATACCTGCAAGAGAAAAAAATTGAAGTTTTATTATTGATACGAGAAATTCATTAAAAGTCTTAAATCAAACATTTATAAACTCATTTCAACTTCAGCTGAAGGTTTTATTTATTTTATTTTAATTTCTGTTTATATTTACATTTTATTATGCATTATTTATTTTGCATTCATTATTATACTTGTGTTTAATTTATTTTTCATTAAGTAAATAAAAATAAGTTTCAATATTATTATTTACCATTTTGTGGCTTCATTGGTGGTGCACGCCATTTCAAAAACACCGCGGATGAATTCAATAGTACTGCTTCCATGCCAAAGGGTGTTTCGCTGATCACTGTAAATATAAAAAAAAAATAAAATTAATTGTTAATAGTAATTTCATTATTATTAAATTATGCAATGCTTTTAACTTTATTAATATTTATGCAAAAGTAGCTCCTTTAGCTTCGAGTTTCAGTATGAGCGCCTAAAAGCTCGCAATAATTTTAATAGTGTTGGATACAGAAATAATAAGTCACCATATGTGATTGGATTTATTGAATTTGTTGTAACTAAACATTATTCTGTTGTCGACATACTAAGCACAACAACAACAACTAGCGGTTCCTTTTCTAGCGTATGACAGTAGTAATTAAAGGTACATGAACGAGATAGAAAAACTTTTGATATTAAAATTTTAGCGATTTTACGAAAATTTTTTTTTTTAATTTATACAACATTTTAATAAATTACTTTCTGTGCATTTTCTTAACATCTAATGTTATGAAACCTTTTATCAGCAAAAAAAAATATATACAGTATTTCGAAGCCCCATTGTCACTTCCAGGCGCCACATAGATTTCTTATTTGCTTAAATTTAAAAATAAAAAAATATATTTTCTTTGAACTTTTCATAAATTTAAGTATTCATTTTCAAACCAATTAAAAAATTTAGAATCAGCTGTATATAAGTTTTATTTATTTTTTTAGGATAACAGCACTCGGCGCACTGAAACTAGTACTCCTTAAAAGGCAAATAGGAAGAGGTTTTAGTGTTGAAAAGGATTTAATAATATGCTTGAGTGTAAGTAGAGATTTACCACAAAGGTAAATGTGCATATGTATGTATAAACACATCATACAATAATATAAATAAGTGCAATCCCTCATGTGCTGTTAGAAAGTGTGAGTGTAACATGTCTGCGAAAATCCCAATTGAGCGAGTGTTGGACTTTTTGTTTGCTTTATTTTGTGGGAAGCCCTGCAATTTCTAACTCACTCATTTCACCAGCGCTATTTTCGTCTGTGCTTACGCTACTCTTCAAACAAAGTGTTTAGTCTCTGTGCTCAAGATTTTGTATTTAATATTTTTTTCTCATATATATTTTTTTTCTTTCCTTCTATTTTGCTACTCATACCTAATTTCTACCTGCACTTTTTCGCCGTCATTATTATGCATGCATGCTTGCAGTAAGCGAGCGGGTGAGCGAGTGCACAGAAACGAAAAGAAAAGTTAAGCGATGAGCTGGCAGCGCTAAGTAATGCAAAGCAAAGCAATTTCTTTTTAGATAAACAAATGCAGGTAGCAGGATATGGAGATGTGATAAGTATGGAGAAATGGACGTGCAGAAGTAGAGGTATTTTGTCTGGCTTTCTAGCAGTCATACAATCAAGCAAGTTTAGCGAAAAGGGTGGGCAGGTGCATGGCTAGAGGTTGGGTATGGGCGATGAATATGTGATCTCGAGGGAAGCCGAATCATGCGAACTCTCACAAATGGCGTCAAGTTAAAGTGCCTGACTGTTGTGGATGTGTATGTATGTGTGTATTTTTCAACAAATAAATCTATGTGCTATACATAACGACACATTTTTACGTACATACATATGTAAAATATTGTTTACTTTGCTGCCTTTTGCTTTTCTTCTACAACACATTTACTTGCATCTTTTCAAAATTGCGTACAAATTGCTGCCATCGAAACAACAGTTGACATTTGAGTTGTATTGCATATGTGTGTAAACACACACACTCACATATCTGGTAATGTGTGTGTACACACGTGGGTTACTTGTGCAAAATACCTCTGCAAATATGCGTGCACGTTTGCAAATAAATAAATAAAAACGCCTTTAAAGCGAAATGTTGGAACTTTTGCGGTTGTTTACTCAACTCAAAAGCGACGCGACTCGAGTCGGTTCCAAGCGCAATGCGATGCAGCAGCACAATAGCTAGCGGGCAACTCTCCAATACAAACATACATGTACATATGTAAATAAGTAGAAGACTTTCGTCATTCTTGCTTATTTTGCATGTCGTTGCGTTGGTTAAAAGTTGTCCCTCTTTTGCACTGCACCAGCGACGCCTGTTTGTATGCTACCATAAATCAGTTTCAGCTGTTTCGCAGCGAATGTTTATGTATTTGTGTTGTGCATATAAAATAATTGTTGTTTATCTTTTTCGCAATTGCAATTGCAATTTCTACTCAGCTTCACTACCCATCACCACCACCCTCGCAGTCATCAAGTGTCGGTGCAATTGGTTGAGGGTGGCTATTTGTGTGTGTGTATCTGTTTGTGTGTGTGTATGTGTGTTTTGTAGTGCAAGAAAGCAATTGCAAAGTGGAAATGTGTTGCATACGGAATGAGTTTGATTTAAATTCTTTTTTTTTTTCTTTTTTTGTTTCGCCGCAACTTTGTAACACAACGCAGTGAGTAAGTGGCATAGCGATGCTGTTTGTGTGGTGACAGTGTGTGTGAATTTAGTTGCAAATACAAATACACAGTTACATATGAAAACATTACACACAGTGTATGGTAGTTATCTATCTAGCTATCTATTGTAAGAATTTGGGTAATCTGAAAGTAGAACGATGAAGATGAGACTGTTTGATGGCGCTCGGAGAAAAATAGTTTAGGCTTGTAGTACCAGAGCTGGCGGATGTTACTTTAGAGGCAAAACCCTTGGAACAAACGCAAATATATGTGAATGAGTATTTTATAGCGTCCAGATTTATCAGGTTCCGACATAAATAGCTACAAACATTGAAGCCTAAGCGAGTATTCGCAAAAAAATGTGGAGAGTCACAAGACGTAGCGTTTTAAGGATGGAAATAGAAACATAAATAAGAACAGAAAAAGAAGGTACAGAGTAGAGTCATCGAGAATACTTCCAAGAAATATGGAAGAAGTTTCTACTGAATCTCCAGCTTTTTCGAATACTTCTGAAGACTTAGAGCTTTTTAGCGGTAAGCACTCGCACAAACTTTTATTTGTTTCATATCACTTTTTTTGCTCTAATTATTGATTTATTCATGTATAGTGTAAGCTTCATTGAAACCCTAAACAAATTTCGAAACACAAAATTTTGCATTTTTTTCTGCTGCTTGAATTAATCGAGCTGTTAAGCAATGAACTAATTTTAAGGGAACATAGAGCAGTGGGAATGACTCTAGAAACCTAGTGCGCAATTATACATATGACCAGTTTTATATTAATGAAAATCGATTTAGAAAAATAGAGTTCTGCTTTCGAGGAACAACTACTTGACGTCTATTGTGCCATGTAAACAGAGATAGCAGAGACGTATTGGCAAGAAAAGGATCAATTCCGTATGTTCGAAATATCCGTGGGTCTCCTTCTTGCTAGTTCGTCGGCGGTAACTTTATCTGAATTCTATTTGAAATCAGTAGCTTAAGATACCGTCAAGTAGTTTTTGATGGTTCCTTAGCATTTAAATTCTATCTTCTAGTCAGTAAAAATTCGTATAGAACTTTGATTAGAAATGTTTATTTAATTGTTCCCTTGCTGGCGCAATCAACAAGCTACCGATTGTGCTAAGCTACAACCCTCAGGAATTGTGGAAGTTATGCCAAATCTACTCTTTATTCTATAAGCAACTGTGTTCTTAAGAGAATCGACTTAGAAGGAGATAAAAGAGCGGCATATATTATAGATTTACTCCAGCTATCTGTTAGGAACTTTGCTGGTGGTAGAAGTCCAGGTTGCACCGATTGATATCCGTTGGAGAAGTTGTCTAGAGTACTCTGTATTTTTCTATGGAATTTCCGCAGCAAAATTTCAGTTTAGGGGCTTAAATTCAGTTCATAAACTTGGGAATTATCAGCCCCTCCAAGTCTTGAAAAAAAATCAAGACGAAAGAACCACGAATTTGTGGAGGACCTCGGCCGAAAATCGCTTCAGCGGTAACAAAGTAATATTTATATATATGTATATATATATCTTCTTGGAACTGCTGACTAGTCTGCTAAACAGTATCTACACAAATATCAGTGTCAGTTTTGAAACCCAATCAAGGATCTTACCTGTCTATAGATGCTACTTTGGACTTATTGGACAATCGTGAAATAAAACAACCTTCCCAAGAACAAAGAACAAACTTTACATATCTTGCTGCATGGTGAAGAAGCGTTGACAATGAAAACTTCCGATGAGTCGGCATTAAGAGATTTCGAGAATTATAGAGCTTCGTATACTACTCGCAGCGAATACCCCAGACGTTGGCGCCATGAGTAGTACGAGATGTAAGGCGAAGTTGTGAGAGCGCCATGACGGGGGTTAGGGTAGTCATGTTATCTGTACGCACGAAAGCTTTTGAGTCTTGAGTATACAGTATTCGATGCACTACTCGTAGGGAAAGGCAGAGGGATCGATGGCCTTGATGGAGAGCCACTTGTGCTTACTTGGTGCCAAGAAGAGAGAATAAGTCACGATTGGCATACAATAATCTGCTAAACACTCTCCATGTCAATGAAAAAAATGAAAAAGAAAAATTAAATAACTTCATTATTCGGTAGCTATGGTCACCGTGGTACTATTGGCACACAATTTGAATTTTACAAAATCTGATGGTATCAGAATTTTTATATGATGTCAAAGCCTTGACTCTCGTCTATGTAAAACTTCCCAAGGAGCGCACCGGTATAAAACTTCTGATGCTTACAGTAAAAAATTTGGTTCTCTCTTCCATAATTACTTCTCAAAATATAATTTCACTGAAAAAAGGGTATCCAATTTACTTAATTTCTACTCCTCATTTACCGCCTGACTGCGCACCATACGCCCAGATGCTACAAGCAAGGAGACACTCATAAAAGTTGGACAACCTTAAATACATTTGTAAATATTTCCAATATAATCAGATCACGCTGTTTTCCCTTTTCAATACTAAATACGCAACATAGCATAATACGGCATTCTGCTTTGTTGCAAACTTTCACCAACGACCCTTAAAATTTGCCAGTCTCGTGATTACCCGCAGCAGTAACAATACACTGCTTGACAAGGAGCGGTGAGAGGGAAAAGGGCGAAGGGTGAAACATATAGAAAAAAGCAAATAAATGAAACACATGTGTCACTCACTAGCCTACAGTTGAAGAGACTATTCAGTATTTAGGGCACATCTGATGCCCGCTGACACTACAAATACACACACAAATATACATATATGAATATGTACCTATCAATTCGAAATCGAAAAAATCGCATATACGCAACAGAAATTTCCTTACGTACGCCTATTTTTTTACTATGGCTTTTTTTGCAAAATCTTTTTTTTCTTCAATTATTTATTTCATTTACTTTGGTGTTCGATATTATGAAATTAGGTTATTGTTAACAGTGAAAGGAAAGGAACAAAGGATTAACAATACAGAGCGCGTGTTGTTGCAGAATGTTTGTTGGCAAGAGGAGGGTGAGTGTATGTATGTGAGTGTTTTTGATAATCATATTTGCTGAAGAATGCAGAGGATGTTACACTCCACCTACAAAAGTGGCATAACTTAAGATTTGTCATTTTTTGGAAGAGGAAAAAGCAGGTTTGGGATTAAAAAAAAATTTTTAAATAGAAAAATTGGTTTTTAGAAAAATTTAGAAAAATTAATTCTTTGAGAAAAAAAATTTGTTAAATAAAAATGTATAATTTTTTTTATTTTATTTCATTATTTTAAGTTTTTTATATAAGCAACATTTCTCAAAATTGGTAATTTTTTAGAACCTGAAAAAAATATTTTTGAACTCATAAAATATTTGTTAAAGAAGGGGTGATTTATTAAGAGTTATAGAAAAGTTTTTCACAAAAAAAAAAATAAATTCAGAAAAATTCATGAAATTTTTATTTGAATCGATAGTACGGTCTATATGATTTCATGTTTTTGACAAAAGAAAGATGTTTAAGAAATATTTATGATTTTATAAATTGTGTTTTGGAGGTTTTTTTTTTAAATTTGGTTATTTGTAATGCGTAAAATTTATTTTTCTCTTTTTAACAATAGGTACAAGAAAAAATACATATATATGCAAAAAGTTTTAATAAACAAAAAAATTTATGTGTAGCGACTAAAAACAATTTGTAAAAAGTCCCAACTCTCTTTAACAATTTTTAGCATTTTTTATTGAATACTTTAGAAATAAATATATTTCAGGTATCACTGGACTTCAGTATTAACAATTTCTTACTTAAGCCGTTTTTAAGGCAAAAAAGCGTTGCCAGTGAAGGAAAAGGTTTTTTTGTTTATCAATACGTAAGAGTGTTGCAAGGCAGAAGGTAGAAACGGGGTAGAGCGGTAGAGAAAATACACTAACATTGGTATTGAGAGGCTCAAAAATATACAATTTATATTTGTTTGTATAAGTATTTTCTCTTCTATAAAAGGCAAATATACATAGGTATTTTTAATACAAATTTTTGGCTTCCAGTCCCTTTAAGCGCTTATATGTATGGCAAAATATTCATATCCTACATACATATATTTCAAGTATACGAGTATCTCTGAATTTGCATTGATATTTAATCGCTGCTGCAGGACATTACGGCACATATGAGTTTAATGTTATTGCCACTATTTACATAAATTAAAGGGAAAGTAGTTCACTGGAGTATCCTTTCCGCAGATCTACGACAATGTATGAAAACTTGGCTGCGGGCCAAATTGGCATGCAAAAATAGCATATGGTAATTTAAGGAATATATATANTATTGCTTTTTGAAATTTACTTATTTGCTTTTATTAATTTAATTTAATATTTATATATTCATATATATAAATATATATATATATATTATATATGATATGTATAATCAATAAAAAAAAGATATGGAGACATTAAGCGAATGTTATCTAGGTAAAATAGGAATAAAATATGAATCCCTTAAATTTCATCAAATTAAAAATAAAAATTAATGAAAATTTCAAAAATATCCTGATCTATTTCTTAAATCCTTAGAACAAATTTCTTCTTAGTGTCAAGGTAATAGAAACCTTTTTCAATCTGTTTAAGCCACGGAATGTGAGCCCAGGAAGTAGGAGAAGGTAGAAAGATTTCCTCCTTTTTTGTGCAGGTTATCATCTTAACTCAACGCTGCTTCATAGCCTAGTCTCGAACGGCCTTAGAATGCTGCTCTTGGGCCTACCAACATACCAACAATAGTAAATGACTTTTTTTAGTCGTTCGGAGGCGGTTTAAAATCAAAGTTCTTCCCTTCCAAGTATAAATTCTAACTCTTCATAAAAAATATTTCTCTAAAAAATTGTTGTTTCTAGTTTTTTGTACTCACCATCCTCCAACGTACGCGCAATCCGCGAATTCGATGGTTTCCCCTCCACAGACTTATAAAATGGTACAATGAAAAATTCATAGAGCGTGTATTGCAAGAGTCCAGTCAGTGTGCAGGATGAGGCGCCACCCCCATTAAGAATCGTTAGCATGCGATATGTTGTGCTGCTGGTAGTTGTGGCAGCAGCGGAGGCGGCAACATTATTGACGTTCGTATCACGTCGGGCAGCGGCTATATTTGGTTTAGCCGAAATCAATGCGGCCGCTGCGGCGTCGGCTGAAGCCGAAGAGGAACTACGTGAGCCGAGTAAAGGATTTGTCTTTGCGCTGCTGCGCTCTGAACTTACGATGCTGCTACTCGTTGGCGGATTTGGTAATTGACGCGCGTAGATGTAAAAGCCTTCCACGTATTTGCCGTTGATTATCTGTGAAATGGAGAAAAGGAGATGTTAAAAAAATGTAAAGAAGAAGTTGAAAAAAAAAAACAAAATAAAATTCAAAGCGAAATTGGGAAAAAAATTTAGTAATTTGCATTGCCGCCTACAACGCGAGCTCGTACTGTAGTCAGGTATTAGGCAAACAAGTGCTGCTCCTACAAGGACATTCGACTTTGACTTAACAGCTTGACTACGCGGTCACGCTCCGTTGCCTTATTGACACTGACACCAAGCCATTAAGTTCTCAGCGCAATACTGAGAGGCAAAAAATTTAAAAAGAAGTAAATTTTATTTTAGTTTTTCAACTAACCTGCCAGGTCAATTTCATGCTTGTCGAGTCCACAATGCTCGCGTTAATTAGTTCCACCACATCGCCGGACAAGAGACTAGCGCGTGCTTCGCTCAAATCCAAGCCGCTGTTGAAGAAACGCTGTAAAGGAAATAAGGGAAAACAGAGTTTACCGCGCTGCTTCAACACTCTACTCTTTGCCACTGCACTACTTACCATGCCGACATTGATCGGCTCCGACATCGGACTGGGCAGTGAGACACCATGTGAGTTCTCTGCGCGTATGACAAAAAAGTAATTTACACCCGGCACCATGCCCACCTGCATGAAGGTTGTATTCTGTATGCGTGCGCCCACTTTCACCCAACCGTCCGTCTCATTCTTGCCAAACATTTCCACAATATAACCCACCAGACTGGATGCGCCCACCTTATTGCTGCGCGTCCACGACAACGTCACTGTATCTTCGGTCTTCTCCACCACTTGCGGTTTCCCGGGAGGCCCAGGATGTGTGGAGAGCTCAGGTGCACGATAAAATTTGATATTCGGATTTGTTGGCGTATCTAAACGCAGATAACCACTCCACGATGACTTCCCGTTGCGATTGCTCGCCACACATGTATACAAGCCTTCATCCTCATTGCGCTGCAAGTCGGCAATGGTGAGTATGCCGGTTTCGGAGAGATTGCGCCGTTCATGTTCATTCACATCTATTGGCATGCCATCTAAATACCAAGAGACTTGTGGTGTTGGCGTACCACTGGTGCGACATGGCAGCGTTACGATCGATTTCACCGGCAACGTCTGATTGACGGGACCCAACTCAATTATTGGTGGTGGCAGCTCAAATTGAGTGTCCACAGTGACAACGGTACGACTGCTAACACTGCCAACCGCATTCAAAGCATTACAAACCACCACCTTGCCGGAGTCTTCACGTGCAAAACGTACTATGGAGAGCACGGAGCGTCCTTCAGGCGTTAGCGTCACCTCAATGCGGCCATCCCTGTAGCCGGGGAAGAGCAGTGAGCTATTGCCTTCGACCGACCAGTAGAGTGTGGGTTTTGGATAGCCGCTGGCTTGACATTCAAAGAGCACTTCATCACCGACTTCGACAAGTTGATTTTTGGGGCGTATGGTGAACTTTGGCGGCGCTGCGAGGGAAGAGAGTGGTAAATATATAACATAAGTTTGTGTGGCTTAATTATTTTGGGGGAGCTAAAGTAAATAAGTTGTTAATAACGGTAAATGTTATTGCAAAGCAATGAACATATCAAGAGAAATTTTTTGTGTGTTGGCGGGTCTTTCATTGTTTTCTTTTTATTTTTATTATTTTATTTTTATTCTTCACTTTGCTTTCATCTGCTGTTTTTGAAGTGCGGCCAGGTAATTAATTTTTATGTGAGAGTTGGTGGTATATTTTATGCAGATACAGGGTGCCATTTTTGTTATGGTATTTATAATGGCCGCTTGAGGCTTTGATATCCTGGATTTAATACAATTTTCTTGGTAAACTCATGATAAAATGAAGAAATATATAAAGATTATTCTTATGAATTATTACCGAATCACTTTTTTTTATTATTTTTTTTAAGTTTTTATATGACAGAAAATGGTTCCGCTAGGGGACAATCAAATGTAGACAGGAGAATTAAGCAACTGTCTATCTTCTATTGCAGGGCACGAAATAGTGGATGAGATTCGGCTATTTTGCCATGAAATGCAGAGCAAGAATTAATATTGACAAGAAATTAAAAACGCAGCTGGAAGATGGGACGATATGAAATGGCTAAACGGTCCGGCAAGTCCAAAAAGTTTACTTGTAAATGCTGCGCAGGGGAACACAGACCGCTTATAGCCGTATAAAGCGAGGTTTTAGTAACAGTGATATATACAAAAAAATGCTGAGAGGCAGGCTTTGGTGAGACGTTAGAACATCTCCCCTTTGCATGCTCGGCCATATCAGGAATCTGTCTCGCTCTTCTGGGGGCTTCGTAGTTTGCAAAACTTCGTAAAAGCTTTTACATGCTTTTTGCCAGAAATACTCCGGACAAACAAACAGGTATAGGTAAGGCCAGGCAGTCAGTGTAACCTATTTTAACCTCCGGTGGAAGAGAGAAGATTTTTTCCTCAAAAATTAATCTGAATTTTCTGATTTTTATTTTTCGACAATTCAATAAAGATACAATTAAAGAAATGAATTTTTTTCTCATGATCCCAAAAAAATGGTGTAAAGCTTTACATTCGTATTGTTAATTTCATTTAACGAAAATTTCATTCCTTCATGACTTTCACTGACCTTCAACGACATTATTAGTTTAATTCCTTAAACTCCAAAAAAAGAAAAAAACCAGAAAAAATATCTGTAATTGATTGGACTTTTCAGTTATCAAATTATTTTCTTATACTTAAGTCTCTGAATAGTTATTGAAATTATTTGCAAAAAACAACAATTACCACCACACTTTAAGTTCTTACAACAAAAACAGCCTTGACCAAACTTTTGGCACCCTTTATGTGAACTTTTAGCAAAGAAATTCCAGATTCCAGACACTTCAGCGTTGCAATGCATAGTGCAAAAGCACTACAAATGAGCCGTAAAAGTTTTACGCTTACAACGCCATATAAGTACAGATAGATAGACAAATATATTAATATATATATAATGGTGTTATTGTACTATATCCTTCAGCTCATCCCTACTCGTCAATAATGCCAACAAAGACTCATAGCAATTAACTCACCGTGGACGGTAAGTGTGCCCGTGGCTGTAATTGAACCGACCGCATTATCCGCTTCACAACTATATTCGCCCATATCCTCCAGCGTAACGTCATCCAATTTAAGACTACGATCCTCAAGAATGTGCACACGACCTGTGAAAAAAATAAAAAAGAAAAATTTAAGAATTATATATATAGTTAATACACATATTACAAATATATACATACACGTATTTACATACATATGTTTTCCGTATGAAAAAAGAAAATGTAAGTTCAAGTGTTGACCAAACAAAGCAATGAAGCTTGAATAGTTCAAAGGCGGTGCGTAGGTAAACACCAGAGCGTAAATATGTTTATATGTGTTGTTATAGAGCGATATACATAAGGTAGCGCACATTAAAAGTTGTATTGTGTGCGTAAATAACAATAAAAACTTGTGAATAAAGGTGCAAAATGTTTTTTTTTCTTGTGTTTTGTACAAAGAAGACTGTAAGAAGAGCACGTAGTTGGAAAATAGCAGCAAATTTGGCATATAGAATGGTTAAATGGCAGCCAAATTGTCTGCGAAAAGCAGCTTTGATAATTGTTGTTGGCGATATTGCCGTTGCCACTGCCATTATTGTTATCATTATAGTCATTGTTGTTCTTCCACTTTTAGGTTTAACCCAAAAACTTTTGCATTCATCTACACCTACACCACAAAAGCTGCAAATAAGTAATTTGTAGTGAGTTTTTACTGCATTCATTGTGCAGTGAAGAAGTATGAGCATAAAACAACAGCGGTAACGTATACGCCCAAGTGCACTTCAAGACGGTGAATCCGTGCTTGCTTTTAATCGTGATATTTAATTTTAATTTTAATTTAATTTTATTTAATATTATTTTATTGTACTTTAATTAATTTATTTTAAAACACATATTTCATTTTATTTTATTAATATACTTTATTTATTTTATTTTAATTTAGTTCATTTTAATTTTATGTCTTTATTTTGATTATTTAATTTCATCCTATTTCATTTTCTTAAAACTTCATGTAATTTCTTTTATTTTTTTAGACTTATTTTATTTAATTTAATTCAATTTTGTTTTAGTTTACTTATTTAATTTATTGTATTTTATTTTAGTTTATTTATTTAATTTATTCTATTTTATTTTACTTTATTTTATTTTAATTACAATAAATTATTTTTATATATTTTAACAAGATAATAGTTATAATTTTTAAATGTATTTTAATTCATTTTATTTTATCTTATTTTGTATTGTTTTATTATAGTTTAATTTTTATTATTTTATTTATTTTACTCAATTTTTTTATTTTATTTTATTTTTTTACATGATCTGATTTCATTTTATTATTTTTCTTATTTTGTTTTCGTTTATTTTATTTTTTTATATTCATTTATATTACATTTTATTTTTTTCTATTATTTTATTTTTTTTTATTTTATTTTATTTTTTTATTTTATTTTTTTTTATTTCATTTTAATTTATTTTATTTTATTCTAGTTTTTTTTTTATTTTATTTTATTTTATTTTATTTTATTTTATTTTATTTTATTTTATTTTATTTTATTTTATTTTATTTTATTTTATTTTATTTTATTTCATTTGATTGATTGATTTAAATTAATTTAATTTTCTTTTTTTTTTTGATAATATTTTTATAATTATATAACTTTTATATTTAATATTTCTACTTTATTTAATTATGTTTTTTTTTTATTTATTTCTTATGATTTCATTACGTATAGTTTTTTATTTCTTTACATTAATTTATACTATTTTTTATTTTATGTTGTTCTACATTCTGTCATACGGAACTCAGCAGTTTTTCTTATTTTAACCAAAGCTTAAGCGATAGAAACCCACACCTGGCCACTGAATATGTAAACTCTGAATCAAGCACATTTAGAGTCCTATCCCAAAGCTTTTTATGAAATCTTCATATAATTTATTTTTTAGTTACGTCGCGAGTGGTTCGGTTCAAGAAGTGCGGTGAGTCAAATGGATCACTGGAAAACTACACATTTTTTAGCTTAGTGCTGAGAAAAGGTGTAAAGCAAAATAATATAGAATTTAAAAGAAGGAAGTAGCTTAAGCAGCAACCATCGTTAAGCGCGCGCGCACTTAGTTTGTGGTTGGTATGCAACATGCAGCTCTTCCAGGTGCAATGACAACGAGAGATACTAATACATGCATACATTTATTTACTCCTATATAGCTTTGCCTATTTACTGTACGCATTGGAGTTACAAGCGCTTAAATCAATGCTGAAAGTGTGTGTGGGTGCATTTATGTGAGACGTGAGGAATGTTTTTGTTGTTGTCTATCGCAATTGTTTGTTTAACAAAAGTTTTACGGAAGCTTTGGCGTTTACATTTGCTTTTGCTACTTCCGCGCTGTTGCCGTGCTAACGTCATACCCATAAGCTATATTACAACCGAAGCCGCAGCCACTGCCACAGGATCGCGTCCGGCTAGTAAAAGTTTTTCTTGTCTCAAACACAAACAAACGAATAGACTAACAGGTATTTGCAATTGTTTGCGAGAAAGAACGTATGCAAAGAGTGTTCAGTGTATATGTGTTAGTTCAGATAAATTAATCAATGTAAATTTATATAAAATTTATTTTTGATTTAATTAAATATTAAATTTCGCTTCATTACAAGTCCAATAATTAATTAATTAATTATTTTAAAATTTATATTGTTAACTGAAAATTTCTACATAATTTAAGTTTAACTTATTTGAAAGTCAACTAAATTAAAGTTCAGAAAATATTCTTTAAAAATTAAGTAGTTTAATCACCTTGCTAAAATTGCCGAACACCCTAATATGAATATAACCAACTCCTGGCTCACACAGCCACATGCCTAGCGCTTAGTACAGGCGCTCGTTAGCATCTGGTAGTGCATATACTCTCACCTACGAAATACGCTCTGCCTGCGTTTACTTATTTGTTTGCATAAGTTAGTGACTGCGAAAGTGAGTACATGGGTATTAACGTAGGTGTTGGTGTTTTCAGGAATGCGGTGTTATTTTTGTCCTTTAAACGCGCATCCTTTTACACCATACTGCCATTTAATTCGCCCTTTTTCGATTTCAACCACTTCACAGACTCCCTCTCTTCCACCTTATTTCCCCTGTGCTTGCTCTTCAGCATATATACCTGGACGCAAATATGTGAATATATACATATGCGTTCATTCAAGTATGTATAAGCTCCCCATGCTGAGTCTCCATCACTTTCAAGTGTTGTTCAAGCAAAAACCAACAACACAAATGTTGATTGCTGGCAACAGAGATTGGCAATTAACGGAATTAAAAGTTGCAAGTTTGTTTTGTGGTACGTGGTAACAGTGTAGTGGTAGTAGCTGTAACAATAAAACAACAACAGAGCAGCAGACATGTACTCCAGTGGACAGTAGACGCACAGTAATCTCTAAAAAATAACAAACAGAATGACTTTTCCACCCATTGAATACTTATGGAAGTCCTTTTTATTTCTTCTGGTTTGGTTCTTCAGTCACTTGCTCATCAGACTGCTACTACTACACTCGAGAAGACGTTGACCAAGTGCACTTACCTGGTGCACTGTGTTTACCTATGCGGTTGCTGGGCAAGTGATGGTGGTGAGACAGTCGGCTACTTTAAGAGGGTACTCAGTTGAAAGCCCATGTGAGTGAGCTTACATAATTACCCATCCGTTTGTATGTTTATAAAAGCTTCTCCTAAATAACGGGTTTTCGGTTTATTATCTCCGACTTTTATTCAAATATTTTATTTTGTTTTGAATCCATAAAAAATTTAAAACTTAAAGAAATAAAAGAAATGAAATAATAGTAATAAAATTAAACCAAAAAATATAAATTAAATAAAAAGAAAAAATTAAATGAAAAAAAATATAAAAATAAAAAAAAATATCAAATAAAATAAAAATAAAAAAATTAGTAAATTGAAATGAGATCAAATAAAATATTTTAAATTAGAATAAAATAAAAAAAAAATATATTAAAAAAAAATAATAATAAAATATTAAGGTAAAACTAAAACACAAAAAGATAATAATTTTGAATAAAATAAATTAGTATTTAAAAAATAAAATAAGATAAAATAATAATAAATAAAATATTATTAAAGAATAAAATAAAATATAATAGTTTAAAATAAATAATAAAAATAAAAAGTAATGAAAAATTAACAAAAGAAAACAAAACTAAATAAGTTTAAAAAAATAAAGCAAAATAAAATAAAATAATAAATAAATAAATTTATTAAAAAAAAATAGTAATACATGTTCTCGCTGTTCTCGAAACTTTTTAAATATTTATCAAACTAGGTTGTAGATATTCGGGACATCAATGCCCAGTTTTGTATAAAGGAAGGGAACAATTTTTTATTTTATTTCACTCTTTAAATTTTATGGAAGATTTTCGTATTTTGGTGGAATTACACTTTAAAAAAGGTACAAAACATTTAGCAAGTTATACCGAAGACCCTGTGATAGACCAAATATTGAAAATTAAATCTAATATTATTGTTAAAAAAATAAAACAATATTATTAAGCATAATAAGGTTAGTATCCTCGTATAGCTATATACGTTCACACGTGACAATTTCAACTGCTATACAAAACAAGAAAATCATTAATTTTACAAGTTATCAGCGCTGACCCGTATAGCATCAACAACGACGACTCATAGCATTAAATTAGTGGAAATGTAGAGGTTGACCGCAAAACTCGAAATCAGAGTAAGTATGTTATACACGTACGTGTATGTATGTAGACTATGCAAATAAGGAGTGAAAAAATAAATAGGAACGCATACGTATATTGTATGTATGTATATATGTATATATAGTATAAAGTAATTGCCACACAAAAGCCTTGCAAATAGAGATAAACACTTACGTAATGGCATATTTCCGCCCGAAGCGGTGCGTCGCCACAGGACATCCGGTAATGGATCACCACCAATACGACACTGAAAGATAACCGAAGTGCCAACCACAGCGGTTTGATTTTGTGGACCACGTATGAGAAATGGGCGCACTGCAAAAGGGAGGATAAAGAAAGCAGTGAATGAGTTTATAAATTAAAAAAATGTTGGTATGTAAAATTAAAAAAAAATAATAATTCAACAATTCTTTCTCATTTAAAGTTTCGGCAAAAACTTACCGTGCACTTTCAGAAACGCCGTCGCCGACTCACGTGTCCCCACCACGTTTTTCACTACACACTGATAACGGCCATCGTCCGATTGCCGCGCATCCTGTATGGCCAGATTGCCACCGTCGACTATGCGTATACGTTTGTTATTGCTTAAATTCATTGTTTGTCCATTTTTACGCCATGAAATTTGCGGTTCCGGTGAACCACGCGGCGCACCGCACTCCATCAGTGCCACTTCGCCTTGAGCAACGCGCGTGTTTTGCGGTTCTAGGCGAAACTCATCGCGAAGAACTGCGGGAATGGAGGATAGAAGAAAAAATTAATTATAATTTAATATTTAAATGTGTGATTTTAAATTTTCAATTTGTTTAAAGGCTTAAAATTTTTAAATTTACGATTATTTTATTTGTATACTTTTTTTTATTGCAAAACAAACTCTCTCTGTTTATTTGTCCAATTACATGAAATCATATTAACATAATTATTTTTACAGCAGCACATTTGTATATATTTTTTAGATTTAGTTTTCTTTCATGTTTATCTTAATCATCAGATGTCGTGATGCGCATCACATGGTCTAATATCACATCATATCACATGCCATTAGAATTTAGTTAATCTCGATTGGTCACAGCATATTATATGATGCAAAATCATATGACTTTAAATCTTTTATAAACATATTATTATAATGTAATTATATGCCATATTCTAATATCATATCATATGATATGATGACATCTACTCACATGACATCACATCATATTCTACAATATCACGTGACAACACATCTCATTATATCGTGCCACATCATTACTTTGCTAGTGGATTCTAGCGACGATATCATTTTACGTCACATCTCATAATACCACTTTACATAATTTTCGTCATTTGTATGCGATATCATGCGATATCATCATATCACAAAATTTAATTAATGACATATTGGATCCTAGGTGCGTCACGTAATATTGCGTAACAAAGTATCGTCACATTAGATATTCAGTACGATATTACGTGAGATATCATGAGATATGAGTATCAACATATCACTTGACGTCATTAATATCAATCAGATTCTGAGACGATATCGCGTGACATGAAATATCATAGATATTACCGCATCGATATAGTCATATTAGAAACATGATACGTGTTGACGTGTCTAAGCATCTAATATACGATATAAAATTACACAAAAACATCACTTCATCTCAAAATCATGTGCATCATATTCAGTATCTGTAGCACGTCGATTCCAATTTTTTCTCACTCAATGATTTCAAAACCCATCTACTGGGATATATTTTTTAGCTCTCGCTTTTATTTATTTATTATTTATTTATATGAAAACAACATCACCGCTTCGTATTAAATAAATAAAAATTACCGTGGTGTCTTTGATATTTTTGCTCGCCAATCTTGTTTTCTGCTTAGCTCACCTCTTCTATTATTTTCCTTTATAATGAGCACAATATGCAAATGATATGCTCAGCTTTACAGAGCTAATAAATCTAATGCAGAAATAAAGATTCTTACTGAGATTACCTGTTTCTCAATTTGATTTATTTACTTATTCCATTTAAAGCGAAATTCTTAACAAAATAAAATCAAAAAATATTTTATTAAATATGAACTCCAACAGCGAATATCCTTTGAAATGCCAAGTTCATTGCCATTATTTGCTATTTCAACATTTGTACAGCTGAGAAAATTATACTCTGAATAGAACTCATTATGCTTGGTTGGCAATAACTGAAAGCGCGCAGAAAGTGAGTCAAAGAATTTATTGGAAATATTGAAAATATCCAACGATTTATGTCGCTATAGAAGTATTCAAAAAGAGAAGTGCATTTTCAAATGATTTGCTTGGCAGCGAGGAGTCGAAAGGCTTGCGTATAACTACATATCAAGGACTGAGTTTAAGGCCAAGCAAAAAGTTTGAACTTTCTTGCTACAAAAAATTTATATCTCATTTTTCATAATTTTTTACGAGCAATTTAAGTTCAACCCAGCGTGCCTTTCTAAGTCTAAAGCTAATTAAATTTATTTATCACAATCAATCATAGCTTACATCTCTTCCTCTTTAGTTTTCTTTCTCATATCACTGCAACATGCAACAGGGCTGGCTGATGGCGCAACTTGCACTACCATAATTGCCAGCATTAACAAAGTAATAACTTGTTAGTTTATGTACATAACAAACTACCGTTAGGACCTATTAAAAAATTACTGTTAAATATAAGTAGCCCACATCGGATACTTTACAACTTGTTAGTAGAATAATATTTTTCATAGTTTCCCTTATCGCGTTTTTTCTCCTCTTTTTCTTCATGAAATATTTATCTCTCTACTTACATGCAACTTGTAGCGTGGCATTGCGCGAACGTGCCACACCAAACTCATTTTTCGCCACACACCAATACGTGCCAGCATCACTTTCACGACGTGAATGTATCACCTGAAGGTAAGAAAAAATTGTGAAAAAATGAGAAATAAAATTGATGATTTTTTCTTAGAAATTGTGAGTTTAATAAAAGTAATTGATATATATGTATAAATATGGGATGTATGGGAGTATGTACTACTTTAAAGGATTACGTTAATTTTTTAACAAAATAAATGAATAACCTTTAACTAATTTTCAGGAAATATTGAATAAATAAATCAATAAATATTTTATCTTTATATAATTTACATAAACTCTTGTAGAAACTCAGAAAAAAATTTTGTAAAAAGTTAATGTAGAAAAAACTAAAAAGTAATACACATAATAAGTGAAAGCTGCTATCACAAAGCTCTCATATTGCATTAAATTTGCCAGAAATAGTCTAACTCTCAATTTTACTCATTACTTCTATTCTAGTATAAGAGCTTTTGCGCTAAAAGCTTACTACTACGACTTACTATTTATAATAATAAAATCATTAATTTAGTTAAACTTTCACTTAAGTATTTGTTTACAGCTTTAGTTTCATTCAACGCGAAAATATCGCAAATTGTTGTCAGATTTTGTGAACGTGATTGTCTTTAAAATTTAAAATTTTCTTTATTGAAAAAACATTGATATAAGGTTGTCAAATATCAACACTATACATAATTTGAAAGGTCTTGACATAACCTACAAAACAACGCTATGTGTTATGTATGATTAGTTTGGATATTGCGTTCAACAGTTATAGACGTGTAAACATGGAGTTCGCTAGCGCCGAAATTCGCGCTATTTTAAAGTTTTCCTTAAAGGCAAATACGCTAGAGAAACGTTCCGTGAGATTAATGGTGTTTTGGGGGATGGTACTTAATAACTTCGAACCGCGGAGGAATGGTTTCGACGATTCAGAGCCGGTGAAAACGACACCATGGATAAGCCAGCCGGCGGAAGACCTGTGACGACAAATACCGATCAAATCATGGAATACATCGAGTTAAACCGGCATATGGCATCCCGTGACATCGCCCAGGAGATGGGAGTTAGTCACCAAACCATTTTGAACCATCTGCAGAAGGCTGGATACAAAAAAAAGTTTGATGTTTGGGTGCCACATAATTTGACGCAAAAAAACCTTCTGGACCGAATCAACGCCAGCGATATGCTGCTGAAACGGAACGAACTCGACCCATCCTTGAAGCAGATGGTGACTGGCGATTAAAAATGGATCACATACGACAATATCAAGCGAAAACGGTCGTGGTCGAAGGCCGGTGAATCGTCCCAAACAGTGGCCAAACCGGGATTGACGGCCAGGAAGGTTTTGCTGTGTGTTTGGTGGAATTGGAAGGGAATCATCCACTATGAGCTGCTAACATATGGCCAGACGCTTAATTCTACCATCTACTGCGAACAACTGGACCGCTTGAAGCAGGCGATCGACCAGGAGCGTCCAGAATTGGCCAACCTGAAGGGTGTAGTGTTCCACCAGGACAACGCCAGACCACACACTTCGTTGATGACTCGTCAGAAGCTACGGGAGCTCGGATGGGAGGTTTTGTCGCATCCACCATATAGCCCGGACGTAGCGCCAAGTGATTACCATCTGTTCCTGTCCATGGCGAATGCCCTTGGTGGTGTGAAGTTGAACTCAAAAGAGGCTTGTGAAAAATGGCTGTCCGAATTCTGCGCAAATAAGGAGGGGGCTTCTACGAGGAAGGTATTATGAAGTTGCCGTCTAGATGGAAACAGATCATCGAACAAAACGGCGCATAGTTTAACTAAATCCGATCACTGTAACGCTTTTTATAAAGCTTTGAATGAAGAGAAAAAAAGCGGAAGGGAGATATTTGACAACCTTAAAAGCTCACTTTAAAAATATCAACACTTGTTAAAATTTGGTCAATTATTGCCATTTATTATTATAATACACCAACAGTAGCAAGTAGAAGTATTTTTCAATAAATCAAAAGCTCGCTCTTGAAACTCTTGAGCTTTCACTCTAAAGTTTGTTTGTAAACCATATACAAAAAAAAATTGAAATCAAATCTTCGGAAATTACCTAAGTAATTAAATAAATATATGCTTTTACAACAACTATTTGAGTCTCTACAAAATTTGTGAGCTTTCACTGGCGATTTACTAAAATCCAAACTAATCATGTAGAGTGTCAAATTTAATTTACAAAGTTGTTATTAAATTTTCACACAAAATACTTTATTTAAAATAAGATTAAAATCTTTTTACTTTCGCTCATTCTTCCTTCTTATCTGACTTAATTCCAAACCATTTTGAATTCCACTTTCAATAGAATTTTCCAAAATTGAATAATACAAGCACGTGCGCGTCAAAAAATTTTTCAACTTTACAAACATCAAAGGCGCAAAATTTCAAACATTGCAAAATCTCTCTGACTGCTGGTCCAAAAATCTCAACAGCCGCCGCTGCCAGGACAATAGACAGGAAAAAAAAGCAAGCTACAAAAGGCAAATACAACAAACTTGTGTATAAATATTTTGTTAGCAGGAATAGAAATGCAGGCAAAAAGCAGTAACAACCCTTGACGGACTGAGTGCCTGAGTGACTGGCAACAAAGTGGCAAATAGCAAGAAGTGTACAAATACACACACACACACACACACACACACGCACACACAGTATGAACACATATTGTCCGACTTCATTTAATTTAATTAAAAATGTTACGCAAGTGCGTTATCTCGAACATCAGCAACAGCACAGTTGGATGTACATATATATTTTTGACTTTTCTTGTTTTGTTTTGCTTCGCTTTGCTTTGTGGGGTTAAAAATCGCCTCAAAGCGTAAGAAAGAGATACTTTTGTTGAGTATAAAAATCAAAAGAAAAGTCAACGAAAAACCGGAATCCACACAAATTCTTTGTTGCTCCGCACTCGAGTTAATTGACAGCACTGTCCTGTTGCTGCGCTAACCGCTCCCTCTCTTCTATCTCCTTCTACTAAACGCCATTCACATATTAGAAACGCAGAAAAAATATACTTTTGTATGAAAAAGCTTGTAAATACTGCAAATGTAAAAGTTACAAAGTCAACATTTTGCAAGTTGAATGAGTTTTAATGTGTTCGACCCTCAAAGTAAATTGTGTGGGACACCCACACTTACACACGCGTGTATACATTTCAAATATAGAAAAACATCATACTACAATTTGTAGCGCAAAATGTTGAAGGCCTTGAAAATTTGCAGCATTTAAGCGGGTGTCAACTCTTACCGCCGATTTGTTGGTCCAACAACGAGGATGTATTTATGAAGTTATGTACATATTCATGTGTAACATCGTATCTGTTGAAGTGCTATTGAGTGCGCTCATTGAAGTCCCTCAAATCCGTTTGATGATGGTTCAGAGCGATTAACTTTTTATTTTATTATTATTAATATTATTTTCTTTTTTTTTTCTTGAAAACATAAGCAAGGATGGAATGCTCTTTCCGTTTATTATTTATGGCCTTTCAGGACAGGTCCAATTTAACTGTTTATATAAATTTTTCATAATTGTTGCAAATGAATTGAAATCGTTCAGTCATATGGAAAACATTTTCTAACTTATGCATTATTTGAAGGTAAGCGGTTTCATATTACCAATTGTTGTTTGATTTTTTTCAAGTATTTTTTTTAACAATATTTGAGTAAATTTTTTCAGTAATTTAACCTAAAGCAAATCGTCAGTTAGAAAAAGTTCACCCAAATATTATCAGTGGAAGCTTTTATAAGGCTTAAGTAAATTATGGAAATTTGCTTAGCTTTCGTCATTAAGTGAAATTTTTGAAATATGTTTTCAGTAAATGTTAAATAAAACAATAAAGCTATCTTGGGTCATGCCAAAGTTTTTATCCATTTCTTGAACATATCAAATTTATGGTCGTTCGTTTATTAATTAAATAAATTAAACATTTATAAAATATGAGATTAATATCTTAGAAATTGGTTGGTTCCCCGTCCATATGATGACATTTTACGATTTCGCTGATTTTTGATACAAATTTTTGATTCTAGAGAATGCAGAGTTCCATACTCTTAGATGTTTTTTTAAGTATTTTTGACCCAAAAGCTCGCATCCGGTTGTATGGTAGCTGTATGAAAAAGTCTTCCGATTTATTTCGTTGATTTAATGTGACAGTGTTGTACATACATACTTGCGTATAAATCGAAATTGCACGTTCTTAGAAGCTTTTTTTGGAGGATTTTCGACTCAAAGCTTAACATCTTTAATAATCGGTTGTTTGGGAGCTTTATGTTGCAGTCGCCCGGTTTCGATAATTTTCGAAACCAATATATCATGTGATTACTGGATGTCAAATTAACGTTATTAACTGCTTCGCTCGGAAAATTATCATAGCAGTTCATGTTTTTAGTAAATTTAGTAGAAATATCTCAAAAATAGTCCAACAATTTTTACGTTAGAAACATTTAAAGAGTTGTCGTCTTAATAAGATATCGTTTTCACCCAAACATTGATGATCGTTAAAAATTACAGAGCTTTCGCAAAAAAATTTAAAAGTCTTAGTAATGCAAAACCATATTGAAATGAAAGCTTCAACAACACAATTTAATGTGTCCACAAATATTCAGTAAACCTTATATAAAAAATGTTAAAATGGAAAATCGTTGGTCGGTTATTCTTTATTTAAACAAATGCTCAATCGTTTGAAATTCAGCAGATCATATTGCTAATTTGTGAGCATCACCAAAAAATTATTTATACAAATTCAGCAAAGAAAACTTTCCCCGTATTTTCAACGAATGCGAAACTTTCCCCATTAATTTACTATGAGCTTTATATGCTAAAAACTGAAAAGCTTTTATAATAAAGCAAAGCTTTTTAAGCAATCGTTCTCGACAATCGTTAAAAGTGAATTCTATCTAACAGAATATAAAATAAATAACTGCGGTTTTAAAAATCAAGCAACAAAACTAGGAGCTTTTAGCAAGCCAAGCTGTTTAGTCGGTGTAAACATAATTCTCGTAAGCTTTATATAAAATTTATCAAATTAGTGTTAAAATATGATAAGCTTTCAAAATATAACAGAGCTTCCATACAAAGATTTTTAATATCGAAAGCTCGATTGATCTCATTGCTTATATTAAATTGTTTATATTAAACATATTTAAATAATAATTAAATCATAATTATAATTTCCAATTTCTCCTGATTAATTACATGGCAAATTATTTCTGCTGTTTTAAAACTGGTTTTTTTTTTTATTTAAAATAGTTGAAAATTATAGCAGTTATGTTTTCAATTTGATTAAGTCCAAAACAAGTATAGTCAGAGCTTTTAAATTTTATTTAATTAACAATTAGCTACTGAATAATTCATAGAAGTTACTTCAATGACAAGTACTTCCCACCATTTTAATAAAATTTTTTGCTATAGTTTAGAATCAAAAACATACATATGGGGGCCTTTCTTATTTATTATTTTCACAATAAAGTACGTCCAGAACCTCAGTTTTTATTAACGAAAACTATATATATTATTTTTGATTCAATTCAGAAGATAAGCCAGTAAAAAATAGAGCTTTCACATTTCCTTTTATATAAGATACTTTTTGTTTGTTAACCATTTAAATTACATTTTCAAAAATGGAGATTCATATGCTAGTAATTAAAACTTATGTTATCTAAGTATAATTTGAGCTTTCGTCATATTGGTTTTTTCATTAATAAACTACCAGTAATTAGTTACTTATTATTTCTATTTTTTTACTGAATTTTAAAAATTTATAAGAAAAATTTAATTTTTACTTGTGTTTTAAATGAACTTAAATCCCTTTAATTCCGTATATCAATCTTCACAAAAACCTTAAACATCAATCGTAATTAATTTGAATATTTCCAAATGTTTTCTATATATATATATGCGCTTCAATGAAAATGTTGAAGAAATAAACTCAATGGCAAAGTAGAAAGATTTAATTTGCAAGTAAGACAAGGTAAACGAAAGAAAAAAGTTACGAAGGGAAAAACAAAATAAAATTTACATATTTACATCCCCATAGCCACAATAAGTTGTGCAGGATATTAACAAGATATTTAGGTAAAAGAATAAAATTCATATAAAGTAAATATATTCACATTTACTAGAATTTGACAATTTGATGTGACATATACATATGTATAGACAAAATCATTTGGCTTATAAAATAACAATCGTTTTCTACCTTTCCCTTCTTTATACATGAGAAGGGCACGTCCTTCAAGCACGCAATATCATATATTGTAAATTATTTATACATAAATTGCAAATTAATACAATATATAATATAATATACAATTCTGTACCGTGTTTTTTTTTTATTTTCACTTTTACTTACCTTCAAAAAGAACAAACCGCCAACTGGCAACATTATCCTATGTGAACCCGTATCAGTTTTCAATTCATGACCATCCTTAAACCATTGTATCGATGGTGTTGGATCACCTTCCGCTTTGCAATTAAATGTGAAGGGATCATTTTTTGGCACTGTCATATCCATAGGGTGTTCGATAATACGGGGATTATCACCTAAAATGAAAGAGAACAAATAGTATTAGTAATAAAAGAATTATATATTCGATAATATTTACAATGGTGGTAACTTAATAAGGTAAAAAATAAATAAATTTAAACTTAAATATTTACAAAAATATTTCAGAATTTTATCATATTATATATTGTTTTTTTTTCAATTTAATTTCCAATATGCAAATGGAATTTCATTAACGTACAAACAAGAATCAGTTTAGAAGCCTGTTTGCGATTTATTTCTATTCGTCCTCCAATAATATGTTTTAAGTATGCCTAAGCAAGTATAAAAAATATTAAAGAATTGTCAAACAATATCGTAAATTATGTTGTTGCAATTGACTGACCCTCGTCAAAAAAAAAAAAGAAAAAAATTGTGGAGCGTTGGTAAAAAAAACTCCTTGAGCATCTCGTGCTTGGGCATTGATATGTCTTAAAAATGTTAATGTGCCCAACATATAAAGCAGTAAATAAATCTAAAATGCGAGAACATAAATAAATTCATTAATCTGTTCCTATTTAAGGGCATAAAGCTATTGACTTTCTTATCTTCGAGCAATACGAGTACAAGCCATCCTGCTTAGATAGCATCCCTTGCTGCATTTGGGCGAAATGCCGCTGGGCATACATTGCTGCTGGAGTTCGAAGGGCTCGTATAAATTGCATTCCAAAGTCAATTGATGCCTGTTAAATGATTTTAATGACATTGTAAATATTTTTAATATTATAAACATTTTATGCATGATCCTTGTAGTCTTCGTTTAACGCATACAACTTATAATATAAAAAAGGGTCCTTAGAAACTCATATACTTTGTGGAGTTACAAGTTTAGTGGATTTGTCCTAATATTTGTGAATAAATTGTCTCAACAACAGGGTAGAAAATTATAATATATATAAATTATCAATGCAACTTAAGGACAAGTAGTTGGTAGTTATATTAAAAATTTCTTATTTTATTTACTTTAATTCTCATTGGATTTGATATTATTTAATCTGCTTAAATTCATTTTTTTTATTTTGTATTGCTTAGTTCCTTTAATATTTTGTATCATTTTATTTACTTACTATTAAAATTGTTTTTATTTTCCAATTGATTTAATTTATTTCTATATATTATTATATTTTGTCATGTTTTAATTAAATAATTTAATTTATTATATTTTTATTTTTTTAATTAAATCATGTAAAATTATTTTGTATTATCCTGATTTATTTGAATTTATTGTTTATAAATTTTTTTTTTATTACATATTATATTAATTAATTTTTTTAATTTTATTTTTTAATTTTATTTGGTTTTTTTCTCACATTTTCTATTTCGGTTTATATCATTATTTTTACTTTTCATTTTTTTATTCGTATTTCTTTTTTATTTTAATTGAATTCAGATTATTTTATTTTATTTTAAAATAATTTGTTTAATTATTTTTTTAATTTAATTTTGTTATATTTCAATTACTTTTATTCTATTTTATTTTACTTTATTCAATTAAGTTATTATACTTTTATTTTAATTTATCTAATTTTATTTTATGTTATTCTATTTCAATTCATTTTATTTTATATTAATCTTTTTTATATTATTTTATTTTATTTTGATGTATTTGATTAATTTAATAAATATTTTATATTATTATTCTACTTATGTTATATTTTTTAGTTTATAATATTATTTTATTTTCTTTAATTTATTTTATTATATTCTATTTTAATTTAATTTGGATTATTTTATTTTTTTATGTCATTTTAATTTTTTTATTTTATTTTATTTTAATTTATTGTATATAGTTTTTTAATTATTTTATTATAAACTAATTAACTTTTTTGGATTACATTTTTTATTTTACTTAAGTTTTTTAATTAGTTTAATTTATTTTATTTTAATTTATTTTGAATTATTTTATTTTTTTATGTCACTTTAATTTTTTATTTTATTTTATTTTAATTTATTGTATATTTTTTTTAATTATTTTATTATAAATTAATTAATTTTTTTTTTGATTACATTTTTTTATTTTACTTGGGTTTTTTTCTTTTTTTTTTCATTTCAATTTATATTATTTTATTTATATTCTTTTTTATTTTAGCTTATTCTATTAAGTTATTATGTTTTTATTTTATTTTATATTGAGTAATTTATTAATTTAGAATTTCTTATATTATTGTTTTTTTATTTTTATTTTATTATTCCAATTTAATTGATTTTTTTTTGATTTTTTTGTTTTACTTTATTCTATTAAAGTTTATTTAATTTTGTTACTTTTTTTATTTATTATTTTTTTTTATTGAATTTTTTTAGTTATTAATATTATTTTATTTTCTTTATTTTATTTTACTATATATTATTCTAATTTATTTTAGATTATTTTATTTTACGAAATTTTTTTTTAGTTTTTAATATTATATTATTTTTTTTATATTAAGATGAAAATTTTTGAAGTATTAAGTTTTTTTATTTACTTTATTTAAGGACCAAAATTACAATGTAAGATCTAAGTAAAGCTTTTGCAGGAAAATTTGCCACTTTGTAGTTGTACTTGGTTATTATTTAACTTTATATACAGATATATCTGCTACAAAATTTACAACCGCATAAATTTCACAAACCAATAATCCAAAATACCAATTATCGCGAAAGAACGCAACTAATTGAAAATGAAGGGCAATTTGAATTTCAGTACATATGCATTTTCATTTATTTAGGATTTAATGGTACAAAGGACACAGCGTGACCACAGTTCCTAATAATAATTAATTAAAATATATAAACGCGTTTAGTACGACGATAATCTTAAATTGTTGGTACAATAAGAAGGAAAAACAGAACATAAACATAAATAAAGTCTTAATTATCCAAAGCTGGCATTGAACGGAAGGTAAACGCAAAAGTTACAAGTGTGAGACACATTACTCACTTGAGCTGTGAACAAAAAAGATATAAACATAAATAAAGCTCTACAAGGATGCTAAACACAATGTTGACGGCGACAAAAAGCATCCTGTTTGCTTAGAGCACATAATTCACTTAAAAAACAATTGAATTAACAACAAATGTAGGGAGAAGAGAAAGTAGCGCAGGAGTGAGTATTTAAATTCAGAAAGAAAGAGATAGAATGAGAGGTACCACATTACCATATAAACTATTAGTTCCAATAAATTTAATTAATTTTAATGAGGTTTGTACAGTGTTGAGACGGCAGACCATATTACAATATTTTCAAGCGCCAGAATAGTGGACAACGCCGAAACGTTATAGAATGGAAAGCGCTTAAGACTAAAAAAATATATTTCTAGACGTGAGTTTATAGCACTAAGTTCCTTAAAAAAAATTAAAAATTTGGTTGCAAAGTTAAACAAAATTATAAAAAAATAAAAAATCCTATAAATGAACTAGAACATCTACTAAAGACTTAAGGTCCTTAAAATAAAATTTGCTAACCGATTGTTTCATTATTACTGAAAAACAAAATAAAAAAGATTAGTTAATAAATTTCACCTTCAGTTCATCTTAGTTACCGTTGTTGCCCACAAATGACAAGTAAAGTTTTGTTTGAATGTTATCCTTAGATTGTTATTTCTTCAGCCTTTGTTTTTGTAGTTTATCTGCAATCCTTTAACCTTGCTTGCCTAATCCAATAGGCTTTGGCTTGGGTTTGAAGTGAGCAAACTTTTAGCCGGAAATTAAATTCTGCAGATTTATTGCAAACGGACAACGTTGAAAGACTAAACAAGTGAGCAACAGAAAATAGATGAGAAGTGTGGCGAAATGAAATGCAAGCAAGCGTAGAGCAAAGAAAATTGAAACTTTGAAGAAGACAGTTACATGGAAATGAACAAAATTAGAATGTAGATGAGGAGTTTTAAGATATCATACAATTTGGATTATTGCAAAGAATCGGGGATAACAAATAGAAGCGACTACCTGATGCAAGCCTTATTATAAATAATTCTGCAAAATTTCCGTTTATTTTGAAATTAACAAAGAAAAACATTGATTAGCAAAGTCCTGTCAGAAATATTACCGAAAGAAAATTGGCAACGCAGCACATGTAGTCATTAGTGCTGAGTTAGAGGGTAGTTAATAGGCTGACATTTTTTTTTTAATTTAAAACTATAATAATAATTCATACATAAAGATGTAATCAAATTATAATGCAGCTTTACATAAAATAAAATTGGCAACATTGCCTTTAAAAAATCAATTTCATTAGATCAAGAATTTCCGTATAGCATAAAATACTAGTTTTGGACTTATAATAAGTTTAATAAATATTTTAAGTAAATACAACACCGCCAAACCGAGGGTAAAACAGGGTGAGTTTGGCTACGTTGCCTATAAAAAATATATTTTCATAATGCTTTTTCATGCTGCAGATAATGTTGAGAGATAACAGTGGAAGGAAAAATAGCAACATAGCGTATGTTAACTTATAAAATATGAAGTAACAATATTTCTTGTTTAAAAATTAGACGAAAACAACACACAACCACAATTAGAGGTAAAACAGGTGACAACTGATTAAATTGCATATAACAAATCCGCTCCATAAAATTTCAGAACAACAAAATTGGCAATGAAGCGCATATAAGCGCTCAGCGTGTGTTTGCAAAGGAGTTATCAAACTGTTAACAGTTAAATTATTATCGAAAACTAAATGAAACTAAAACATTTCTAACAATCAGTAGTCAAACAGAGGAATTTCGACAAAGTTGCCTATGTAAAAAAGTATTTCTAGGTAACACAATTTCGCTATGGGTATTTTCAGTAAAGACTTTCTTTAAATATATCCAGTTATTTCTGATAAATGATGCCTAGAATTAATGTACTTACATTTTCTGCATTGATATTGGTATTTTAAACTTATCCTTAATTGGAAAGGACCTTCATATTAGCAAAGTTCTTGGCCTTCAGCCAATCAGCCTGTTACTGCACTTCTATTATGTTTTCTAAACTTTTAAGTTCACTGACCAGAAAATGTGCCCTTTTATAGCACGTA